TCGATTCTATGAGGGTCCTAGATTTAGGCAGGTTGGTAGACTGAAATGTAAGGAGAGGGAAATTGAGAATTTACTATTTTAAGAAGGATTTGGGGTGAGAAATTCTGGGTTTCTACTTTGCAAAAAAAAAAAAAATTTTTTTTTTTTTTTTTGAGACAGGGTTTCCCTGTGAAGTCCAGGCCGGTCTGAGACTCAGATTAAAGACCTGTGTCACTAATACCAGTCTACATTGTGAGATCTTGTTTCCCACAGTAACTGTAGTATAGGCTTCCAGTATAGAATCCACAGCAAATGGGTTTCTGATAGATTTTAGTATTCTCTTCCTATGCCCTTTTCATAAGTAGATTTAAGTCTGCAAAAATAGTCTTGCTAAAATCATGGTTTTTTGGTGTCGTCCCTCCCCCCCCCCCCCACAGGGTTTCTTTGTATATCCTTGGCTGTCCAGGATGGCCTTGCACTCACAGAGAGCAGCCTGCCTCTGCCTCCGAGGTGTTGCAATTAAAGGGGTGTGTCACCACTGCCAGGCTGTTTAAATCGTTGTTATAACAGCTGTTAGATTTATTTTTATGTGTGATGTTTGCCTGGATGGCTGTGTGTGCTTGGTGTCTTCAGAAGTGAGAGAACATCTGGCCCCTGCTACCAGAGCAGCCAGTCTTACTGATGATAAGCCATCTCTACCCTCAAAGTCATTTTTAAGTACCAACTCCTGAAGTGAACAATTCTTACTGAAAATTCAAGGCTTTTTGTCTTTTTCAGTAGCAAAGGGGGTCATGATTTGTAATACAAGGTTAAAATAATTCCTAACCTGGGAAGCAGTTATTTCATGTAATTGGCATGAGTTAACTTGGTTATTAAATTTAAGAGCCCTTTGACCCCAAGGGGCCAGGCATAATGGTACACACCTAATTCCAACACTGGTTTGTGGCAGTAGTACACAGAAATCTGTCTCAGCACACACACATACACACTGGAAGAAAAAAAGCCATTTGAATTTCCACTTCCAAAGTCATTGAGTAAGGTTGATCAGTCATAATCTTTGCCTTGTAGGAAGAAATTCAGAAGAAAAGAACTCGCCGAGCAGTCAAATTCCAGCGTGCCATCACGGGTGCATCCCTTGCTGATATCATGGCCAAGAGGAATCAGAAACCTGAAGTCAGGAAAGCCCAGCGAGAGCAGGCTATCCGGTAAGGCAGTGCTCTACCATGAACATGGGAGCTACTGTGGTGACTAGATGGCTTTTCTGGTATGGGAACCTAATCTCATGAGACTGTCAGTTGTTAGAAGCACATTGCAGTTATATGCTTTAAATAATTTGTTAACTCAGTAATCATAGTACAGTTTCATATGTTAAAGTGACCTTTTGGATCTCTTACGGCTAATTTGCTAAGCTGCCCTAGTGAAACCCCTCTGGCCTTTGGTTTATGGTCTTCCTGCCACAGCCCTCAAGGGTTATGTAACTAGGTTTGTCCCATTGAGACTGGCTCTGTATTTTGATTTTATTTACAAATATGGGGAAGGAGTATATATGTATATGTGTATGTTCTGCTTGTCCAAAACTCTAGCCCTTTACCATAAGTTGTGTTCTTAAAGAGTAAAGTCTTTGGCTTAATTAATGTTGCTTATGACCCCACAGGGCTGCCAAGGAAGCAAAAAAGGCTAAGCAGGCATCCAAGAAAACAGCAATGGCTGCTGCCAAGGTAATTGGGTTCTTAGGTTTCTTAACAATAAGAAATTTTATCTTTAATACAAGGACTAGTAAATTTCAGGTGTGGGTTTCTACTGGAAATGGTTATAGCTAATTTCCAGGTAGTTATATCTCAAAGTTTCTAGTGAGTCTTTTGAGATGTGCCACTATAATAAAACAAGTCTGGCTTAGAACTATGAAAAAGACTTCTCAATTGAAGGATAGGCAGTCCTGCTGCCTAGCTAGCATTAGGGCATGGTCCCTTGTGCACAGCTAGGCTTTTGAGTTTTTTAGGCTTTGTTTGAAGTAATTTTACACTGTTTATCAGTACAGTGAGTTTACACATAATTTTCAATTGGTTGAAAGATTTAAGGCCAGAAAAGTTAAGTTTTTCGTTCTTGAGTGGGCAGATGGTTGCGCCTGTAAAGGCATTTGCTACCAACCCTAATTTAGCCATGGGGACAGACAAGATGAAAGAACCAATACTGTGAGTTGTACTCTGACTTTAACATGTGTCATGTAAGAACCTGCTCCCTCAAGTGTAATAAAAAATCATTCTGGGTCAACAGGATGGCTCAGTACGTAAAGGCACTTGTTGCAGAGCCCGGTGACCTGAGTTTGATCTTTAAGTACCCTATGTAGTAGAGCTAATTCCCACAAGTTGCCTACATGCTTGCTGTGGTGTGCCCCACCCAAGATATTCTTAAGTGGCTGTGTATAGTACGTAGTGTGACTCTAGTCCTAGTGGAGACAGGAAGAGTTCAAAGCCAGCCAGAATGTCCTTCAGAACTATCCCATTTTTACTAACAAATTCAGGGTCCCACACTTCGTAGTTAACTTACTGTCCAATCTGTGATAGTGTCTATTATATATGGTGGAAATGAACTTTAATCATAGGTTACTTTGAAGTTGGTAATAATGCAGTTAAATTAAGTCAGTGAACTTTTTTTTTTACAGGCCCCTACAAAAGCAGCACCTAAACAAAAGATTGTGAAGCCTGTGAAGGTCTCCGCTCCCCGAGTTGGTGGAAAACGCTAACTTGGTAGATTGGAGTTTCAAATAAAGATCTAACTGCTAGATGTTGTTTTGATATTTGATTTTTTTTTTCCCACAAAAAGTGTTGTATTTGGGGAGGGAATGATACAGCCACCGACTGTATGTTTAGCTTGCCTGAGTTCCTATATTCAATACCTATCTAAAAATGTTCCATTTCTTATTGGCCATAGTCTCACATTTTAAATCTTAATCCCAGTACTTAGGAGGCAGAGGCAGGCAAATCTCATAAATTCAAGGCCAGCCTGGTCAACACAGCTAGTTCCAGGATAGCCTCCAAAGCAATACAGAGAAACTTGTCTTGGGGGGGGGGCGGGGGAAGTCATGCAAAATGATACTGTTGTGAACTATGAGGTTTTTAACGCCTTTGAAGGCTGTTCTGGATCTCTGTTCTGTAGACCAGGCTGGCTTCTGTTTGCTTTGTTTCTAAAAGACAGCACTTCTCTGTAGCTTTGTAGAATCCTGCTGGGGTTAAAGTCCTCAACACTGCCCAGCTGGGTTTACCTTCTTTTGATTAGTACCTCAGCTATCCTTGGCTATAAGGAGTTTAAAACCACTAATTTGTTCTTCCACGGTGATATTCACTGAAAACCACTGTATAGTTTTTAAGATTGAAAACAGCAGGAACTTCAAGATTGTCTTGCCCCTTTAGTGTCAAGATTGTATGTAGGAGTGCGCCAATACACTGGGCTGTTTTTGTGGTTGAGTCTAGTCATTCTGGCTGTCCTGGATGGAATTCCCAGAGATTAACCTACCTCATCGGTACTGGGATTAAAGTCCAGTGGTACCATAACCTGATATTTTTTGAGAAAGGTAAGATGTCTACTCCAGTGTTTGTTAAAAAGTGTTAGCATTAAATGCTCATGCCACCAGGTCAGTGTTGCTTACTTTGGTATGTTGCACTTGTTTCCTGAACTAGAGAATAAGAAAGCCATACCAGGTTTTAAATTTTCACAAGTTCAAAGTCACCTTAGCTATGTAATGAATTTGAGTTGGTAAAAGTGAAGCAAGCGTTCAAGAATCTGAGGTAGGATCGGTAAGGTTTGAGCCCAGCCAAGTAACATGATGTTTCTCCCAACTAGCCATTGATTTGCATAAAAAATGGTCTAACACATGGAATGCAGATTTTTTTTTTTTGCTAGGACATAATTGAACAAGGCAATCAAACTGACTTCCCTGAGGAAGAAATTTCAATCTCACAATTTTTGTTACCTCCAAATGGTTACCAGGTGAGGGCTTTTCTGAAAGTAAATTAATTGGGTCTTAGATTTGCTACCTCATTTTCCCAGTATTCTCAAGATTTATTAAAAAATCTTGCTAAGGTTTTTAAGGTAGATTAGAGTCGCAAGGCCACACCCTCTACAGACCAAATTCCTCGAAGGAGTTTGCATACCTGCATCACGATATGGGCCTGGGAATGATGCTCTCTTCATTTCCACTATAGCAGGAGAAACCCTAAACACCTCCTTTGCTCCTCACCTGAGATCCGATAAAGGTGTAAACCCCTCATAGGTCAGTATCCTCCAGGCCGAAAAAATGAGTTGGGAAGCCTGGAACCTTCCAATTCAGCAAAGCGCAGCAAGTGTCTAGGCATTCCAAGAGCACAGCAGACTACGACCAGGAAGGGTAATCCAGGTTGCCTCTTCATGTTAATTTATTCATTTAAATAATCTGGAACTGCATAGTCATCACCATGGTAATGACTCGAGGAATACCCTTATGCTTTTGGTTGTGAGCCTAGCCTTTAACGGCTGAGCCATCTTTCCATTCCGATTCTAGAAAAATCTTACGACTCGTTGGGTAGTTTGGAGATACTTTTAAAAGGATAAATTCGTTAACATTGAGACACTTCACGCTTGATAATACTGCGACTACCTTTGGCCCAGAGCCATTCCAGTGGCAAACGATTGCTACAGTTTCAAAATTGACGGAATCAAGTATACCGAGTCTCGGAGTAGACAAAAAACGGTCTCCTCCCTTCTGGGTAAGGGTCTCAGTCTGGGCAACAAACACCCAACAGCTCAAACACGTGGCTTCTCAGCGAGCGTGGGAAAAGGAAGGAAAAAAAAAAAAAAAAAACCCTGCCAGGACTTAAGATGTCTGCGGAAGACTCTTGTATCTGCCAGAAAGAGCGTACCCTCTTCCAAAATGTCCTCCCGCAGAGTTGACGTCACTCCGCCGGCTGCTCTCAGACCCAGAAATCCAGAGCGCTCCAATCAGGCCCTAGGCCACGCCTTGCACGTGCGTCACTTCCGGTGGTGCAGCAGCCATTTTGTCAGTCGGCAGCGGATCCCGCGCGCTGCAGCAGTGCAGTTCCCCCTGGTTACCAAGCCGTCGGTTCTTCCTCGGCGCTGCGGGCGCCCTCGAAGAGCGCCCACCCGAGGCGTAGGCGTTCCTCCGGAACAGTGTCGCCGCTGCGGTTGCATCTCTACGGAGCCAGCGCGCTGTCTGCCTTTCCCTGCCGCTGACAGGCGCCCTGAGGGCGCTGCCTTCAGCGATGTCAAGCGAGGAAAGCTATCGGGCCATCCTGCGCTATCTGACGAACGAACGTGAGCCTTATGCACCGGGCACCGAGGGCAATGTCAAGCGTAAAATCCGCAAGGCTGCCGCCTGCTACGTTGTGCGCGGCGGGACTTTGTACTACCAGCGGCGGCAGCGGCACCGCAAGACCTTCGCGGAGCTGGAAGTCGTGCTGCAGCCGGAGCGGCGCCAGGGCCTCATAGAGGCGGCACACCTGGGCCCTGGAGGCACCCACCACACCCGGCATCAGACCTGGCACGACCTGTCCAAGACCTACTGGTGGCGAGGTGAGAGCTCCGGCCCGGGCGGCGGGCTTGCGGGCCGCGGCCCGCCACCGGGCCTGCGTGCGCACTCGCGAGCCCGAGGTCTCGGACGCCAGGCCCCCTGGCCGGCTGGCGTTCGGCTGCGCAGCGGCCGCGGGACCGAGGCGAGCGGGTAGGGGACGCGAAAGCAGCCGCACTTCCCCACAGGAAGGAGGCCCGGGTGGCTGGGGGCGGACCCTCGCCCGGGGTGTGGCTTAGGGGGCTTCCCCCGGGGCAGGGCCAGCCGAGGGAGGGTGTGGCGCGGCCACTCTGGGCCCGCCTCCTCAGGCCCCTGGGGAGGAGTGGGAGGTCCCGAGGCAGAGGCCCAGACCCTCTCCGCAGCCCGGATGGCCCGTCTAATCCCCGGCCTGCTGTCCTCAGTGATTGCCGCTCGGGTTTTGGCCTGGGAATCTCTGGATCCCCTTGCCCGGATTTCTCTGGTTCTGAAACTGCGACATAAAAAAAAGGAATGAGGCAGTTAGAGGATTAGGTAGCCGTAAAGACTGTTAGATGGGGGAAGGGACAAGACACACCATCATAAGAGATTTTATTAGGAAGAATTATGCCACTTTGGACATTTGGTTTTTTTTTTTTTTTTTCTGAGTATAATAATCTCCATGGTTTACCAATCACGATGATATCGGATCCTGTTTCCTAATATTCGCGTGTGCGTGTGTGTGTTTTGAGACAGGGTTTCTCTGTGTAACAGCCTTAGCTATCCTGGATCTCACTCTGTAGACCATGCTGGCCTTGAACTCATAGAACTCTCCGGGTACACTGCCGGGACTAAAGGTGTGTTAACACACCCGGCCTATTTTAATGCTCTTTTGATTTTGCCAAAACGGCCCCAGGGACTGAGATATGAGACACTATGTATGTTGAGAAACGATAAGAGTTACAGTGATTCACTGACTATTTAACTACTTGAGGAAAAATTTCACTGTTACCTAGGCTGGCCTTGAATGCCTCAGTAGCTGTGATTACAAACCTGTGCCACCAGAGCCCCCCCCCCCACAAAAAAAAAAAAAAAAAAAAAAAACAGACCTGATTTAAGTGATTATTTTGGGGCCAGAAAATAATACCCCTAATGCTTCTTGATACCCTGGGAAACTCATAATGGGAGAAAACCTTGTTTTTCTTTTTAATTTTAAAAATGGTTTTATGTATATGAATATTTTCACTTTATATATGCATGTGCATGACGTGTGTGCCAGTTGCCTACAGAGGTCAGGGGAGGGCATTGGATTTCCTAGAACTGGAGTTACAGAAGGTTGTGAGCCAACATGTGGGTGCTGAGAATTGAACTGGAGTCTTTGGTAAGAACAGCAAGTATTCTTAATCAAAGAGCTATCTCTCCAGTCCCCACTCCCTCCTTTTTTTGAGGTGTCTTCACTGTAACATGCTGGCTGGCTTGGAACTCTATTGTGTATCATATCCTAAAACTCACAGAGCTCCTCTTGCCTCTGCTACTTAGGAGACTGCTGGGATTAAAGGTATCCTTGACTTTTTAACATCTTTCCCTGAAATTTATACAAAATTTCTATATATTGACTGCTCAATTAAGACTAATAGTTTATTGGATTTTATTAGGAAGAATTATGCCATTCTTAGCATAGCTTTGGAGAAATTGATATATGAATCGTGATGACTTCACCTGGGAGTAAAGCAATTTTGGCTTATAGTGTTAGGTTATATATTTTTAAGCTTTTTTAGATTTCTGTTTATCAATCTTTTGCCTGTATTCGTGTGTGTACACTACATGAATACCGAGTTGGATTCCCTGTAACTGGGGTTATAGATGGTTGGGAGTCACCATATGATGGGTCCAGGGAATCAAGCTCTGGTCCTCTCAAGAGAGAACAAGTACCTTAACTACTGAGCCATCTTTACAGTCCCTCTAATTTTTGTTTGCTTTGTTTTTCCTAGAAGGTTTCTCTGTGTAGCCCCTGGCTGCCCTGGAATTTTCTGAAGAACAGGTTGGCATTGGATTCACAGAGATCTGCCTGCCTCTACTGCCCAAGTACTGGGATTACAGGCGTGCACCACAACCACCTGGCCAAATTAATAAATTTTTTGTTATTGTTGTTTTGTTTTGTTTTGTTTTGTTTCGTTTTTTTTCAGATAAATGTTTTAAATGTGTGTGTATACATGCAGGCCACAAGGAGATCAGACTTTTGTACCTGTTGCTCAGGATGAGCAGCAAGGGCCTTAGAGAATTCCCTTGTGCATAACAAACAGTCCAGAGTTATTTTATTCCCATGCATTTATTTTATTCTCATTTAATTTTTTTAAAGATTATTTTATGTGTTTGGGTGTTTTTGGTTGTATGTTTGTGTGCCCACTAGTACCCACAGAGGTAAAAAATGTATTAGATCTCTTGGAACTGGAGTACTGGATGATTGTGAGCTACCAGGGGGTACTGGGAATCATTGGTCCTCTGCAAGAACAAGTGCTCTGAACTGCTAGCCATCTTTCCAGCCTTTAATCCCAGCATTTGGGAGGCAGAAGTAGGCAGATCTTTAAGTTTGATGCTATCTTGGTCTACAGAGAGAGTTCCAGGACAGCCAGGGCTACACAGAGAACCCTGTCTCTAAAAACAAACAAATATAAAGGGAAAAAAAAAACCTGAATTAAGCCAGCAATCCCATTGTTACAGAGGCAGAGGTCAGAGGATCACTGCAAAGTGGAGGCCAGCCTGATCTACATACTTAGTGCCAGAACAACATAGGGAGGACTGGTCTTAATTCTATCCCCCAAGAAATGTGAATTAAGTTTCCAAGGAGATAGAGTAATGAAGAGTAAAGCTAGTCATAGATGCATTTTGTTCAGTTTTGGTTTGGGCAGATAATTGCTAAAGGTTAGATATGTTAAAACATGTTAGACAATTCTAAAGGTAACAAATTCCACCACTTGAGAGGCAGAGGTAGCCTGGTCTATATTATAGTGAGTTTGAGGCTAGCCAGAGTTAATCCAGTGAGAGCCTGTCTAGACTATCAGTGTCTTACTTTACTAATTTCATGTGCTACTTAGCTCTGCTGTATGAATTTTGATTTTCCCCCCTTTGGTGAAATCTGTTAATAAAACCTTTCTATGCATGCAACAGGAATCAAAATTCCTAGTCAGGTGAAAACTGGTAAACATCAGATACTTTACAATGCACTACAAAGCTGTGATGTTTGATAGATTGGGTGCCAGGCAGTGGTGGTGCACGCCTTTAATCCCCCAACACTCAAGAGGCAGAGGCAGGTGGATCTTTGTGAGTTCTGAGACCAGCCTCATCTACCATAGCAAGTTCCAGGACAGCCTCCAAAGCCACAAAGAAACCCTATCTCAAAAAAAAAAAAAAACCAAAAACAAAAACAAACAAACAAAAAAACACGGGTATTTTCAATTCACAATGAGGTTATGGGGGTTATAATCCCATCATAAATTGAAGCATTTATATTACTAGGGTTCAAAAACCCTGACCAGGCATAGTGGTGCACACTTTAAATCCCATCATTTGGGAAGCAAAGGCAGATGGATCTCTGAGTTCCAGGCCAGCTTGATCTACATAGTAAGTTCCAGGATAGCCAGACCCTGTCTCAAAAACTGACAAAAACCCTGTTCTAGAGCAAGAAACTGTTGATACTGTCTTGTTAGATAAGTATATACATCATACCTGAATGAAGTGCTTAGGAATAGTTTTGTTTGTTGGTTTGATTGTTTGAGACAATGGACTATCTTTGCCAGGCTGGACTATACATTTTCTAAATCAGATGTTTTCAAGTTAGGACATGTTAATGTTTTCACATGAGATATTGCTTTGAGAATGCAGTTCCAGACTAAATAAACAAAGCTCATATATTTTATAATGTGTGTTATGCTTGTAATCATCCCTTGAAGTAGTTTTTTTTTTAAATTTATTTTGTTTACAGTGTTCTGTCTGCATGTTTTGCTTGCATGCCAGAAGAAGGCATCAGATCTCATTACAGATGGTTGTGAGCCATCATGTGGTTGCTGAAAATTGACCTCTGAAAGAGTAGCCAGTGCTCTTAGCTGCTGAGCCCTCTTTTTTTTTTTTTTAAAGAAAATCTATGGTTCCCTTGGCCTTGACTCTATGCAAGTAAAATCTGTTCTTTTCCTCTGCATTAAATGGAGTACTGTGTCCTTTTAAATATATTTTTAAAAAATCAACACATCATGAAAGAAGAAAAAAAACAACCTAATTTTATTTGTATATATGCTATATGTGGGTGCCCACAGAGGCTGGAAGAGGGATCTGCTAAAGTTGATATTACTGGCAGTTGTGAGCTGCCTGATTGGCTGGGAACTGGACTCAGGTCCTCTGGAAGAGCAGTAAGCACTTAACGCTGAGCCATCTCTCCAGCCCAGTAGATTCATTTCTATATGAGGTATATTGGCAATTTTAAAAATAATTTTGAAAAGTTACTTCTCAATATAGCTTAACCCATATTAACTATTTGTATAGGTTGAGACAGTTGGGTATTGGTTTGTGTATTTAAAAACAGGGATATATTGTACATACTGAGGAATGTATTAGGTGATTTTGTGGTTGTGTAAACATAGAATGTACTTTTATGAATGTAGATTGTGTGGGCTATATATTTGGTTTATAGGTGACAGAAACAGCATTATACAAAATATAATAATTCTATTGCATGAATGCCTTGTAATACACAAAGAAATGGACAGGAATCGTCTCATGCTAGGAGGCGTTAAATACTTGATAAGAAAAAGTCTGCCTCAGTGTAGAAATAAATCATAATCCTGAAAAATTTACTCTTCATTCTTTATGGGTGTGAGTGTTTTTGTATATATACATCTGAACATAAATTAGTGTATGTACATATGTGTGTGTGTGTGTGTGTGTATGTAAAATGATAAAGTTCTTAAACTTTCAAGTAAGAACACTTACACTTGATGTTAATTTTGTTGTTGATTTTGTTTTGTTTGACTGAAGGCATACTAAAGCAAGTTAAAGATTACATAAAACAGTGTAGCAAGTGCCAGGAGAAGCTTGATCGCTCCCGTCCAATATCAGATGCTTCAGAAATGTTGGAAGAATTGGGATTGGACCTTGAGTCTGGAGAAGAAAGTAATGAATCAGAGGATGACCTGAGCAACTTCACTTCACCTCCAACCACAGCCTCCAGGTCTTCAAAAAAGAAGCCAGTGTCTAAACACGAACTTGTATTTGTAAGTGTGCTTTCTTACTATCTAACTCTCAGTCCTACAGGTCTCTTGTGATGGCTGTTTTCCCAACATTGTTTGACTATAAGTGATGAAACTCTCTAGAGCAGCAATTCTCAACCTTCTAATGCTGCAACCCTTCATTGTACTTCCTCATCTTGTCATGACCCCAACCATAAAAATGTTTCTGTTGCTACTCCATAACTATAATTACTATTGTTATGGGTGGTAATGTAAGTATTGGATCTTCAGGATATCTGATAATGCAACCACTGTATTTTGATCTCCAAAGGGGTTGAGACACACTGGTCTATAAAATAAAGTTTATTTAAGACATCTTAATTGCCTACTATGTTATATGAGCTAAGTGTACACTGTTACTCTTTGTTGAACCTGATTTTTGACAATTAATATGGTATCCTATTTGTTCTTAATTAGTATCCCCATTGTAACTAATTCCATCCCGATTGAATGTTTTTTTAATTAGGCTGTGGGTTGCATAGCAAATTACTCTGACTAGGACTTCTGCTTGATTGGTATTTTTAAGAAAAGGTCTCATGTAGTCAAGGCTGGCCTTGAAATAGTTACATAGGTGAGGATGATCTTGAAGTTATGATACTCCTGCCTTCAGTGTTGGTAGTACAAACATGCTCCACAGATTGTGGATTATGAGGTGCTGGGATCAAACCTAGGCCTTCATACATGTTTGGAAAAACTCTACCATCTCTGTCTTCCTTGCTAGTTTTTTTTTTTTTTTTTCTGTTGTTGTTCTTTTTGAGACAGGGTCTTTTTATCCCTGACAGTGCTCAAATTTTCTGTGTAAAGCAAGGTGTCCCAGAACTCACAGAAATTGTCTTGCCTCTGCTTCCCAGAATTAAAGTAAAAGTGTGTGCCACCATGCCTTAATTTGTGGCTAGATTTTTGATTGTGGTTGCGTACTTGTTCATTTGTTTTGTTTTAGGCTAAATCAGTTTCATACATCATCACAACACACCCTGTCACCCCCCCAAACAGGGTTTCTCTGTAGCTTTGGAACCTATCCTGGAACTAGGTCTGGTAGATCAGGATGGCCTTGAACTCACAGAGATCCACCTGCCTCTGCCTCCTGAGTGAAACCACTGCCGGGCACATCATCACATTTTTTGACCAGAAAGAGGCAATAAAAAGTAGGATAGGTTTTTGCTAGCATGAAGTAAAACAGTATGGCTGGGTATGGTGGTGCACACCTTTAATCCCGGCACTTGGAAGGCAGAAGCAGGAGGAGCTCTGTGAGTTCTAGGTCAACTTGGTCTACATAGTGTATTCTAGGTTAGCCAAAACTACATAGAGACCCTGTCTTTTAAAAAGGCAGAAAATAGTAATATATTTTACTTAAGTATGCAGATAACTAATTGTTTGCTTGTTAAAAAGTAATGGATTTTTGTTAAGGGTATATATAGGTGATATAGAATACACCTCTTAATCTCAAACATATTTTGACAGGTTGACACCAAAGGAGTGGTAAAACGTTCTTCTCCAAAACATTGCCAGGCAGTTTTGAAACAGCTAAATGAACAGAGACTCTCCAACCAGTTCTGTGATGTTACCTTGTTAATTGAAGGAGAAGAGTATAAGGCTCATAAGTCTGTCCTGTCAGCAAACAGTGAATATTTTCGAGATCTTTTTATTGAGAAGGGAGCCGTTTCTAGTCATGAGGCAGTCGTGGATCTTTCTGGTAAGATTTTTTCTAATACTCTTTGCTGTTTATTAATAAGCATATACTAGAAGGAAAATATGTATGTATCTTCCAAACAAACAGAATGTACGTCAAATGTAGGCCTGATTTCTCAATGGAAAAGATCCTTTTAAAGCAAGGTTCTAAGATTATTGAGGAAAGGCTGTAATTTTTTGTTTTTGGGGGATTGTGTCATTACACACACACACACACACACACACACACACACACACACACACACACACACCACACACACCCCACACACACACACACACACACACACACACACACACGGTTTCTCTGTGTAGTCCTGGCTGTCTTCAAACTCACTCTATATACCAGGCTGGCTCTGAACTCAGAAACCCATTTCCCTTTGCCTTCCTAGCTCTGAGATTTAAGGTGTGCGTGCACAGCCATGCTTGGCAGAAAGGCCTTCTCTTCTCTTCTCCTCTTCTCTCCTCCCCTCCCCTCCCCTTCCTTTCCCTTCCCTCTCCTTTTCTCTCTTCTGCCCTGCCCTTCCCCCTCCCCCTTTCTTGTTTGTTTGTTTGGTTTTGGTTTTTCAAGATAGGGTTTTTCTGTATAACAGTTCTGGATGTCCTGGAATTCTGTAGACCAGGCTGCCCTTGAGATCTGCCTGCCTATGCCTCCGAGTGCTGGGTTTAAAGGCATGCAGCATCACTGCCTAGCTAAGCTGTGATTTTTTTTTTTTTTTTTTTTTTAGCACTGCCTCTTAGGTCAAGGAATTGTATGTAGTAGAGTTATTTCTGGGATTGGAATGAAAGAGAAATCTGCAACTTAGTAGTGAGTGAAAACAATACTTTAAATTGCCTACTTAATATCTTGTTTTGTGAAGCGTGATTTTATATATTATACTTGTATGTGAGTATAATTTTGTGTCTGTGGTGAATGCACTTGTTAGTGTGTATATGTGTATAGCTGTCTGCATCAGGTGTCTTTTCTCTATTGCTTTCCATCTTTATTTTTTGAGGCCAAGTCTCAATAGTCACCAAACCTGAAGCTCATCATTTGGACCAGGTTGGTGAATTTCAGGGATCTGCCTGTTTCCATACTCTCTCCCCTACTCCCCTAAACTGTATTGAGGTTGCAAGAGTCTGTTTTTATGCCAGTCATTTGCTTTTTTGTTATTATTTTTGTTACTATGGCTCTATAACATTTCAGATCATGTCTTATAACACCTGCAGCATTGTTCTTCCTGCTTAGTATACCTTTGATTATTATGAGGTGTTGTGGTTTCTGTGTGAATTTAGGATTGTCTTTTCTAGTTCTGTAAAGAATGTCATTGTGATTGTGTCAAATCTGTGTACTGCTTTCGGTTAACAGCTATTTTCACAGTATTCTTCCAGGCTATGAACAGGAACAGAGTAGAGCCATTCTATGTTAAGTGTCTTTAGTTTTTTTCCCCTTCTCTTGAAGTTTTAATTGTAGAGGTCTAGTTTTTGGTTTTGCTTAGAAAACGATAATTAATGAAGTTTTCTCTCTAATTTCTTGGCAGATTTGTCATTGGTATATAGAAACCCACCGACTTAATAGTGTGTCCGTCCATCCATCCTGCTGCTTTTCTGAAAGTGTTTATTCTAAGAGTCTCCAATGGTTTTTTAGTTTTTTGTTTGTTTTTGTTTGTTTGTTTTATGTGCTTTGCCTCATGTATGACTGGATGAGAGTGTCGGGTCCCCTGGAACTGGAGTTACAGACGGCTATGAGTCAATATGTGGGAACTGAACCTGTGTCCTCTGAAAGAACAGTCAGTGCCCAGATAGCCTCCCTTTTGTATGATGTTGGCTATAAGTTTGTTGTAGATAGTGTTGTTCTTTTGCTATAGTTATAGAAATAAAAGCTGGGGGGGGGTGGTCCCAAGTGAGTGGGGTCCCAAGGAAAGGGCCACATAGGAGAGCATAGCAGGTTCCATAGCAGGTGAGGGTGACCGAGGCATCTAGGTGGAGGGAATAACACGCCAGGCAGATAGAGCTTAAATGAGGAGTTTATTTAGAAAGGGAAGAGACATGGAGGCACCTGGAACAGAAGGGGAGAGAGGAAGAGAGAAGAAGAAGGGGGTAGCTGGTGGTCAACCGAAAGCAGGAGAGAGGAAGAGCAAAAGAGAAAGCAAAAGAGAACATAAGTGGGCAGGGGTCTGACTTTTAAAGGGGTCCTTTACTCCTGCCTGCAGACTAATACTCATGGAACCCTGGGCAGAGTACTGCCTGAGTGCATTCTGCCAGGTGACAGGGGCAGGCCAGCGTAATATCCTTACAGGTAGCCTTTATTATGTTGAGGTATGTTTCTTTCATTCCTAGTTTATTTGGAGCTTTTATCATGAAGTTATGTTGATATTTGTTGAAGGTCCTCCTAATAGCAATTGAGATTATAATGTGGTTGGTTTATTTCTTTTCTTCTTTTTGCAGACAAGGTGTTCCTGTAAAGCTCTTAGGTCTGAAACTGCTGATTTTGCTGACCTTAATTCACAGAGATTCACATGCATTATGTGCTAGGATTAAGGGCACAGGCTACCATGCCCTGTTCTCTCTCTCATGTTGGTTCTATTCTTATGCCTATGGGATGTATTATGCTTTATTTTTTTTATCTGATGAATCAGTCTTAAGTCCCTAGAAAGAAACCACTGGCTCATGGGATATTAACGTGTTCTTTGTCTGGGGTGGAGGTGGAATAGGGGCAGTGTCTTACTGTGTAGTTCTGACTGTCCTGAAACTCACTGTGTAGACCAGGCTAACCTAAAATCTCTATAGACCAGAGATTTGCCTGCCTCTGCCTCCTGAATGCTGGGATCAAAGAAGATATATTTATCTACACTTGGTCCCTTAATGTGTTCAATTTACAACAATACTATTCAGAATTTTATTTTTCTTTTTTTTGTTTTGTTTTGTAGGCAGGGTCTTACTGTGTAGCTCTGCCTATCCTGGAACTCACTATAGAGACCAGGCTGACATTGAACCCATAGAGATCGCCTGTCTTTGCCTCCCAAGTGCTGGAATTAAAAGCATATGTCACTGTACCTGCCTCAGAATTTTTGTATCTGTGTTCACCAGGGAAATTAGTCTGTAGTTGTCTCTTTTATCTTATTATGTGTTTATGTTCTTAGCCAATTTTATACCAGGGTTAAAGGTGGTTTCACAGAATGAGCTTGCTGCAGTTTACTTCATTTTCTGTTTCATAAAACAATTTGAAGAATATTGAAGAATAGCTAGAATCTGGTCAGTTTGAGGCTTTCCTGGCCTGCAGTTGTTCTTGTACGTAGGCATCCTTGGTAGCTCAGGTTTTAATAATAGGTTCTCTGAAAGCAGGTCAGTGACACACCCCTTTAATCCCAGGAGGCAAAGGCAGGCGGATCTCTGTGAGTTCCAGGACAGCCTGGTCTACAGGGTGATTTCTAGCCAAGGCTATATAAAGAAACCCTGCCTTGAAAAACAAAACAAAACAAAAAAATAGGTTCTCTGTCAAGGTGGTGCCCAGCTGCTGCCCTCTGAGTAATTCAGTGACAATGTGGAATAATTTCTCTGTTGCTGCTGACTGTTGGAGGTGTGTCCCTAGAGCAGCTGCCTATCTCTTACCTTTTGAAAGTGCCCCCTCTGCCCAATCCCCAGGGAGCTTCAAGGATGAGGTTTGTTTATTTTGTGGATTTAGAAGTTCTCACTTTCTTTGTACTTGAGTTGTTTTATTTGTTTTTTGATATAGAGTTTCTCTGTGTAACAGCTTTGGCTGCCCTGGAACTCACTCTGTAGACCAGGCTAACCTCAAACTCATAGCCTCCTCCCCCCACCCCACCCCCAACCCAGTGCTTGCTGGGATTAAAAGCTGTTGCCACCATCGGGCCTTCCCCCCCCCCCCCACTCACTAGGTCATATCCAAGTTGATTCTGGTCTGCTAACTTACCCTAGTAGTTCTATTTAATTCTGATTAAAATGTTCTGTAGAGTGTAAAGGTGTAAACAAGTTAAAGGTAAAAACAAAGTGGAATTATGGCATGGATGTTCTGGAACTCATTATGTAGACAGTGAATTGGCCTTGAACTCGCTGAGATCTGCCTGCCTCTGCCTCCCAAGCTCTGGGGATTAAAGGCAAGCGCCACTACTGCCCCATTAATTTTTTACTTTCTTTAGGATATCTTAAACATGTCCTTTATTTTAGATACTTAGTCATTTGCAATTTCTTTCATGGGAATTTTTTATGACTAAATTCCCCCCTTCCCTTTTAGATCTTTGAACTTAGAAATTAAAAGACATTAGGTAAAAGATCAAAATACATTATTATTAGTATATGGTTTAATGACTTGTCTATCCTCTGTCCATGTATATAAAAGCCTCATATTTTTATATACTTTGGATAAAAACATTTTCTTTGTCTCCATGTATTAAATCTGTCTATCAGTTTACCTCCATAAGGTATCTATGTTTTAGGAGGATATGCTGTTGGATAAAAAAAGGAAAAGTGTAGATATTATGCCAGAAAACACTTGGTGTTTTGTGGGTGGAGATAAGAATACCTGATGACTGCATAAAGAAATTTGACAAGAGACAGTAGATTGAAAGACCTGCCATATGAAGGACTGACAGAATGCATTTTATAAAAATAGCTATATTCCCATATCTACAGATTTAACATGATCTCCACCAAAATCCATGACATTGTTCACAGAACTTGGAAAAACAAAACCAAAGTTTATATGGAAATCAAAACAATGTAAGCAGCAAAAGTAGTCCTTGGCAGAAAGAGCAGCTGTAGGTCTCAGAACACTGGCTGCTCTTCTAGGGGACCCAGAATCAATTCCCAGCATTCACATGGCAGCTCACAACTATCTGTAACTTGAATGTATATAGACGATTGCTTGCATGTAGGTGTGGGCATTACTCTAATGTCTGATGCCCCTAGAGACCAGAAGAGGGAATCAGATCCCCTAGAATTTGAGTTACAGATAGTTGTGAGCTGAGGAGGGAATTGTAAGGGGGAGATAGAGTAGTATCACCTGTATGATATGAATGCAAGGGAGACTTCTGAGAGGAGGAAGGGAATCATCTATCTGAAGGGGGAAGGGTTTAATAGGGGAGCCACAACAAAGAAGTATAACATAAGCATACACATATAAAGAAGTCAACATGAAATCCATAACTTTGTTAACCTAAAAACAAACTTGGGGGTGGGGCTTGGCCTCAACTTAATGGGCCAGGCTTTGTTGATTCCCCATGGGAGCCCTGAGCCTTTAAGGGAGGGAGAAATGTGGTTGGAATGTAAAATGAAATAAACTTCAGAGAGATAAGCACTTTTTTTGGACAAAGGAAAAAAGGATCTTGGCAGGTATGCTGTGCACTAACTTTCACTTGTAGCCTTTTTTTTTTTTTTTTTTTTTTTTTTTTTGGTTTTTCAAGATAGGGTTACTCGGTGACTTTGGAGGCTGTCCTGGAACTAGCTCTTGTACACCAGGCTGGTCTCAAACTCACAAAGATCTGTCTGCCTTTCCAGTGCTGGGATTAAAGGCGTGTACCACCAATGCCTGGCTACTCACTTGTAGTCTTATACAAGTTTATACAAGTTCATAACCAATAATCAGTTTGTGAAAATAGAATTACAGTCATCACTGTATAGTGCTTTATTTCTTACATCACACATATATATGTACATATATATATGTGTGTGTATATGTGTGCATGTATGAATTAAAAACAACTACTGAAAACACTAAGAAACAAACTAATCCTGTTACAAAAAAATACTTCATAGTATTAACTAATAATTACACAATAATCATTTTATTCCTTGAATCTAGGATAAGCAAACTATAACCCAGTATCTATCCTCTTTCTGTTTTTATAATAAAAGTTGGACATCTATACCAATTTAATCTGCTTTTCAGGTATAATGTCAAAGCAGAGTGGTTATGACAGGTAGTATTTATCATCTGATTGATTGCAGAAAATAATTAGTAACTCTTAAAATATAGTTAGGTTTTTTTCTGTTGTTGTTTGTTTGTTTTTAGAGACAAGGTTTCTCTTTGTAGCTTTGTAGACCAGGCTGGCCTCGAACTCACAGAGATTCACCTACTTCTGCCTCCTGAGTGCTGGGACTAACGGTGTGCACCACCACTACCCAACTTTGTTTTTGTTACAAGGTTTTATGTAGCCCAAGAGGTGACCTTGAACTTTGATCTATTCCAATCTCTGAATGCTAGGATTATAGGGATATGCCGCACTTGGTTTGTGTTACAGTGATCGAATCCATTGCTTCCTGTCAGTCAAGAATTGTAGCTACTGAGCTACATCTATATCCCTGAGCTCAAAATTGAGGTTTTCACAGTGCATTTATTTAGTATGGTGTTGGTGTGGGCACAGGAGTGGGGACACAGTTGCATAGGTCTGAAGACACCTTGTGGAAATCGTTCTCTCCTTCACCATGTGGGTTCCAGGGATTGACCTCAAGTTACCAAGTGCCTTTACCACCAAATCATCTCAGTGGCTCCAAAGCATTGTTTTTAATGTGCACATGTACTTTGTTCAGTTAAATTTTTATGTGGACTACTATTAGAAAATATAGCTGTCTATAATAAGTAAAGAGAGGTAAGGGGGCAGGTTGGTTGGTCCCTGTCTATTCACTTTCCTACCCCCTCCCCTTTTTCACCCTCTATTCTCCAGCAACTGTTTCTTGAAGGGAATTGAGGAACCCCCAGGGTTCTAAGGAGTACAGTTTGAAAATGGCTGCCTTATAACAACTCTTGAGGTAGTAAGTCTGTTATCATTTTCTTCTTTATAGTGGTTTAGAGACTCAGCTCATGGATGTGAGTTAATCAAGGTTGTTTAATAGCAACCAGAACTTAGAGAAAATCCAATGGTAACTAATTGTAGAATAATGGTAACAATTGGCTTTTTACTATATTCGTCTCATCACAAATCTATATTATTCTTAGAAAGTAGTTTTGTGGTGATTGAATTTTTTTGTTTCTTTTTCTTGTTTCACATAGGCTTTTGTAAATCAAGCTTCCTTCCTTTGCTGGAATTTGCCTATACCTCTGTACTAAGTTTTGACTTTTGTAGCATGGCTGATGTAGCTGTCTTAGCTCGCCATCTTTTTATGTCAGAAGTTTTAGAAATTTGTGAAAGTGTGCATAAACTAATGGAAGAAAAGCAACTAACAGTGTATAAGAAAGGTGAAGTACAAACGGTTGCATCTACTCAGGACTTACCAGCTCACAATGGAACTACAGCCCCACCTGTGACTAGGAGTGAAGCAACCACAACTTTGTCAAGTGAACTTGGGCATTGTGAAATTGTACTGCTGGTAAATGGAGAATTGCCAGAAACAGGACAGAATGGGGAGCCAGGACAGCAGCCTGTGGCTCCAGTTTCTCCAGAGGCTGAAGTTAGTGTGTCCCCTATAGAATGTATAACTGATCCCCATCCTGAAATGGGAACTGCTAGCTTAGCAACAAATACTAACCAAACAGAGATAGAGACTGCAATAATCGGAGAAGATGGCACAGTTGCTAATGTTCATCCTAATATTTCAAAAGAGAATATAATCAGTATTTCTCAAGAGGACAGTGATATGGGAAATGACACATTGCCTGAGGACATCGGTGCCAAAGACTTTCCAGATCATAGTCAGAGCCTTGATGACCAACCTTTAAAAGATCAGGAAACTCTAATTGAAACCACAGAAAAGACAGACTCAGGCCCAGAAGATGATACTTACAGAAGTAGGCTTAGGCAGCGGTCTGTTAATGAAGGTGGCTACATCAGGCTACACAAAGGCATGGAGAAAAAGTTGCAGAAGCGGAAAGCCATTTCTAAGTCGGCAGTTCAACAGGTATGATTATAAAATAGGTTGCTTTGTCATTTTATCTTGAGGACATTCTAGTAATGAACTCATGCCTGCAATAAAAATTGGAGTGGGGGGAGTGTTGGGGGAGCAGTTTCCTGCTTGAAGTATTGCATTACAAATATTTAACATGACCCATGACTTTAAAAATGATACTGAAGTTGGACATGGTGTTGCATGTGAGGTAAGAGGATTGCTGTGAGTTTGAGGCCTATCTAGGCTACATAATACTGGCCATCCTGGGCTGCAAGTAAGACCATTTCTCTAAAAAGAGATTTTCTTAGATTGTGTTTTGTGTCTCTTTAGGTGGCCCAGAAATTAGTTCAAAGGGGGAAAAAGATGAAACAACCCAAAAGGGATGCTAAGGAGAACACTGAAGAAACGTCTCATAAATGTGGGGAATGTGGAATGGTTTTTCAAAGACGATATGCCTTTATAATGCATACATTGAAACATGAAAGAGCTAGAGATTACAAATGTCCGGTAAGTACCTGGAAAGCTAACTGAAAACAATCTTACATTCATAAACGGAATCCATCTTACTGACTGCTCTGTTATTCCTACTACTTTTTTTTTTTTTTTTTTTTTTTTTTTTTTTTTTTTTAATTAGATCAGCTCTTACATTGCAGCCCAGGCTAGCCACAAATTTGAGGCAATCCTCCTTGAGAACCTGTTTGGAGATTGTGTTGTAGCAGGGGAGCGCAGCTACTCATATACTCTTGACTGAAGACCTGTCCTCTATTCAGGGAAGGTGCCCTCTTCGACTGAGCTTGAAGATTCACATAGAGCAGTGAAGGAGGAAGGGGACACCCGCCTAGCCAGCCACATCAGTGGAACCAACCCTGTTGATCAATGGGGTGACAGATGTTGCAGCCAGATCACCCTCACATCTCAGACAATCCTCCTAATTTGGCCTTTCAAGTACTGGGATAATAGGCATGCATGACCACACCCCCAGCCCTTTCTTACATTGCTAAAAGATTCTGAGTCTTTTTTTTCCCCCCCACCTAAATACTCAGGTAGAGGGCTTTGAAAAGATTGTTCTTACAAACAGTAACCCTGGGGCTAGAGAGATGGTTCAGCAGTTGAAACTTTGTTATTCTTGTAGAGGTCCTGGTTATGATTCCTGCTCCCTCATGGTGGCTCACAACCATCCATAGGCATGTGTTTAATGCACATACATGCATGCAGCGAACACTTACACATAGAAATTAGTCAATCTAAAAACAAACAAAAAGCATAAAAAGGTAAGGTATCAGAAGAGGAGACCTAGGCAACTAAATTCTGTCCACTAATAAATGTATAAAGTGATTTTGAACTAGATTTCCAATAGAGAAAACCAAATACATCACATTTGTATTAAAGAACCAACAAGTCCCCAAGAATTGATGTTCCTGATTATTTTGAGATTAGGATTACTTACATTACCATTCTTTGGTCAGGAATCTCCTTTCCCTTTCAAAAAAAGAAAAATTATAATTGCCCTGGAGAGGACATATACAGTGAGGTAGATAGATAGCTACCCCAAACCAGAAAGAGGAAAAGTTTACTTACTGAACATTGAAACCTTTCAATTTCAAGTTCTTTCTTTACTCAAGTCCTATGATGTTAGGACTGAAACCCTTGACTTTAAGACAAAATGGTTTTTTGTTTGTTGTTATATTTTGGTTTTTCGAGACAGGGTTTCTCTGTGGCTTTGGAGCCTCTCCTGAAACTACCTCTTGTAGACCAGGCTGTTCTCAAACTCACAGGAATCTGCCTGCCTCTGCCTCCAGAGTGTGACACCACCTCCGAGAAGGTATTCTTCACAAGAGGAATTGAAGGGAGAAGGCTTTGTTCTGGCTCACAGTTGAGGAGTACAGTGCATCCCAGTAGGGGAGTCAAGGCTGCAACAGCCTGAAGTTCTTGTATGGTCATATCAGGTCCACAGTTGGAAGCCGAGCGCTCTGAAGAAGGGCTGCGGCTCAGCACTCTCCCTGAACTCAACTTGTGTTGTGTGTGTTGTCCCAGCAACAGGAAAAGCAGTCAAGACAGTGTCAGCTGCAGACCAAGGGATGAAAGCACATAGAGGAAAACAGCAGCTTTTAAATAAAATACATATGGTGCCAACAAAGATCTAATTTGAAGAATTAACTCTGACTGATTATTATCATGTGACCCACCCCTCTGTAAATGGAAGAACATCTAGATAGTAACAGATACCTTAGAAAAGTTGGTATGTAAATTGAATAAATAAGTGTCCCAAAAATAGAACAAAAGGATAAATTAGAAAATAGGAGGGAAAATTGGATTGTTTTGGTTTTTTTGTTTTGTTTTTCAAGACAGTTTTTCTGTGTAGCTTTGGAGCCTGTCCTGGCTGGCACATACTTTGTAGACCAGACTGGCTCGAACACAGAGTTCTTCCTGTCTCTGCTTCCCGAGTGCTGGATAAAAAAGGGACGGGGGGTTGGCTAGGAAGGAGCCAGATGTTTTCTAGAGTTAAATCTAGAGCAGTAGCATTCAGAAACAGCAGCAGATGTGGTTCTGTAATTTGAGGAAAGCCAAGACTATACAGAGAGACCTTGTTTCTCTCTCTCTCTCTCTCACACACACACACACACACACACACACACACACACCAAAAAGGTTGTGCCTAGAACATATTGGATAAGAAGAAACTATAAAGAGACATAAGCAAAACAGAAACTAAAAAGGGAAAGGATCAGGGTATATCATATAGTCTATGTTTGATAGCATTCATAACCAGTACCCAAATATAGTGGCTCTATAATTCCAGAGTTCAGAGGCTGAGTCAGGAGGAGAGTCAGGAATTTTAAGGTCAACCTGGAATTCAAGGTAAGTTCTAGCAGAGTGGGCTACAGAGGGAGAACATGACTCAAACAAACAGAACAGCAAAACTGTTCTTACATGAACTAGCCATAGTTAATGTGACATAACTATGTTATTAAAGTGAGTTGATGGGAATCAATGATAAGAGAAGAAAAAGTTGTATATGCATTCTACTTGGTGCTAGAAAATAAAAATCAAGAGTTAATTCTGGAGGCCCATACAGAGATAATGAGTCAGGAGACTTTTTTAAATAACATTTTTATTATGGTGGGCATATATATCCTCAATTTATGAGCACATAAGTGCTTTCTTGAACCCCACTAACTCTAACAAAATCTGAAGACTTTTTTCCAGTCCCTGCTTCATTTCCACCTAAAATCTTGGTATTGATATATTGATAATACTTTTTATGGGTATTCTGGTGTAGTCTCTTGGTGGTTGTGTCTGGATTCAAACCCAGGACTTAACACAGATTAGGCCAGCCCTCTATCACAAGTAACGTACAAACTCTAGTATTCCTTTAAGACCCAACTGAAGCCTATTCTGATTATGCTCTCTTAAAGACTTACTTCTCTCCAGAGTCTTATGCCTTTCATTTTTATAATCTGGAACCTAGTGCTTTTTATTTTTTTATTTAATTTTTTTAAGACAGGGTCTCATGGCCTACGGCTATCTTTTGTATGTGTGTAGGTGGCTGTGTTCCATACAACATCGGACTTGTGGCAAATGCTTAACCCTCTGAGACATCTCCCCCGTTCCATGTGTATTAACTTTTAAACTGTGCATATATTTACATATAATTATAACCAAAATTGAAATGTGAATTTTCACTTAACATTTTATATAGGAAGAACTTTTGCTTTTCTTTTTTAGTTATGTAAAAAACAGTTTCAGTATAGTGCCTCATTACGAGCACACCTTATACGGCATACGAGAAAAGATGCACCCACTTCATCTTCATCCAATTCCACATCTAATGAGGCCTCAGGAGCATCATCTGAGAAAGGAAGAACCAAACGAGAATTTATATGCTCAATATGTGGAAGGACATTACCTAAATTATACTCCCTCCGAATACATATGCTAAAGCACACAGGTGTAAAGCCACATGCCTGCCAGGTAAAGGCCTATTTATTTCATTATTAAAGAAGACCAGAAATTAACTGTAGTGTGACATGGGTTGATATGTATTCTCTGAAATCATCTTTACTCTTGTAAAATGTTAGGGAAGATTTTGTTGCCTGCATTAAATGTGATTCTCTGTTGTAGTCTTTAATTTTCAGTTGTAGTCTTTAATTTGAAGTTATAATTTGAAATATTTTGGTGTCCAGAGTACCTACTAGGTGGAAATAACTGTCCATCACCCTAATCATCCCTTAGCCTTTAACAAATTACCTGTAGTGAAAAAGAATGTATGCCATAAGCAAGGAAAAAAAATCCTTCCTAAGCTGTCTTTTTGCTGTTGCCGAGGATTGAGGGTAAGTAAAAGGCAAAACTCTGGGGTAAAGAATCCTGTGATTATCAAGCTTTGGGCTGTTTGAAGTATGGAAGAGTTTTGAGCAACACTGATAGATAGCCTTACAAATGTTGTGATTTGTTTTTATTATCAAACAGTTGTGGAACCCATATAGTTTTGTTATTGTTTAATATTTTTAAACTTCATACATGAGCATTGCATGTGCATTACTTCTGCCCAAACCCCTCCTGTCTCCAACTCTGCCTGTGCCCTCCTCATCCATGATTGCGTCTTTAATTACTATTTCGTGTGTGGTGTTGTTCATATGTTTACATACATATGGGTCCATTTAACTTTGCTCATATGTATGTACATGTGTCTAGAGCTGACCACTGGGGATTGGACATCTTATGTGGAGGCTTGTCCCTGGAGGAGACTGATTCTCTCTCAGCAGTCATTGACCACCCCCCCCCCTCCCCATACATACCTCTTCATGTAGGGGTGGGACCATGTGGAATTTCCCTCTGATTTTGACTTTTCAAGTTGATGTTGTCATTGTGGAGATAATTGTATTATTCAGGCAACCATATTGTGGAGAGTCCGTGGGTACAGCCTCCCCAACAGATGGAGGAGACACCATTTTAAAGCAGGTGTCCTGGCCCTCCAGTACCACCACCACCCCACACCACACACCCCCCCCATAAACTCCCCACACACATACCACACACACACACCCCATCCCCCACACCCCACCTTTCTGAGATTTTTTTTCCCGAATTATAATAGTTTGAGTTGGGAAATCCACAGTCATTTACTCTCTTCCTTTTGACCTATTTTGGATATTTGTAATAGTCTCCATCTCTTGCAGAAAGTAGCTACACTTATCTGTAGGAATAAAGGTAAGTATTTTAGCATAGTGAGAAAATACATTAGTTTAGGAAAATGGCAGTAGAAGAGTCTCCTCTCAATTCTATGACCTCTCTCGCCACAGGTGTCTGTTTAAGCATCTTAGTATGTGAAAATAGAATTCATTGTAAGAGAATCTTTTTCCCAGGCAGTGGAGGCACACACTTTTAATGTCAGCAATCAAGGGTCAGAGGCAGGTAGATCTCTGTGAGTTCAAGACCAGCCTGGTCTACAAGAACTAGTTCCAGGACAGCCTCCAAAAACCACAGAGAAACTTAAAAAGAGAACATTTCATTATATTTGGTATTTATCAGGTCATGGGCAGTCTGTTTTATTTTTATTGTCACTCACTTTTTTCCTTCACTGTCCCAATTATTTTTCAGGTTAAGCTCTAAGAATTGCTTATTCATAAGTTTAAACACTAAGTGTTAGTTTTAGCATCTGGTCTTCAATGTAAAACTACTCAAAAATGTGTGTTCCATGGAAAATAAACACAGAAATAAGAACATGAAAGCTCTCGGAACTGTTGACATTGCTACATTTTATTATGCTTAACAAGAAAATTTCCCCAATGGACCGGGGAAATTGAAAATAATCCATTCTTCATCCAGAATTTGAGAAGAACTATTTTATATGGTGTCTCTTAGTTAAGCTTTCATGCCTCTTTAAGGTGTGTATTTTGCCTAGCTGGCACAGATAGCACAATGTTTTTTCCTACTGTTATGTGCACTTTTGGAAAGATGGCAGTTCTACTGAATATGAAAAGGGGTTGCCGGGTGGTGGTGGCGCATGCCTTTAATCAAGGCCAGCCTGGTTTACAAAGTGAGTTCCAAGACAGCCAGGGATACACAGAGAAACCCTGTCTCAACACCCCCCCCCAAAAAAAAAAAAAAGAAAGAAAGAAAATGGGTCAACTAGCTAAGATCTTTGGTATTTGTGCCTTCATCTTTGACATTGTCATTTTGCTAACTTTAGCATAATAAATTATAGTTTAATTATTTTAATTTCTACTTACAGTAATACTATAATTTTTTTTTTTTTTTTTTGCTACCTTAAACATTTCTGTGTTAGGTCTGTGGAAAAACTTTCATCTATAAGCATGGTCTAAAATTACATCAAAGTCTCCATCAGTCACAAAAGCAGTTCCAGTGTGAACTGTGTGTCAAGTCATTTGTTACCAAACGGAGTCTTCAGGAACATATGAGTATTCACACAGGTAATTTTGAAAACTATTGACATGGTTATATTTTATCTTTTTAACTTAGAATTATGTTGATTGGTTATACTGTAATTATATCAGAACATTGTATTCCCTGCACTTGGGACCATGAGGCAGAAAGATGATGAGTTCGATGCCAGCTTGGGCTTCATAAAATTTCTAGGCTAGTCTGTACTGCATAGTTGGGCCTTGTCTCAAATTTCTCATAACCCCCAAGTAGAAGTAATTAAGATGCTCATAAATTAGTGAGTGTGCAATCTTTTAGTTAGTAGTACAAATTTAAAGTTTCCTTAAATATTTCTGATTTATTTTTATAAAAATGTTCTCTTTTTAAAATTTACTTATTTGTTTTGTATGTGTTCATGTATGTATATGGGGAAGCATCAGAAGACAACTTTGAGGAGTCAGTTCACTTCCTCCATCATGAGAATACCAGGAATTGAAGTTGAAAGGGTTAGCAACAAGTGCTTTACCCACTAAGCCTCACATACTTATGTTCAGATATGCTGTAAAGCAAGAGCATAGGAATGGCCAATTTAACCCAATTACTATTACAGTTTATAATTATTCAGACATAGTGCATACTTACACAGTAGTACCCTTTATTACCATAGTCATTCATCACCCTAGCTGTCCTGGAACTCAAGCTGGAGATCAGGCTGGCCTAGAACTCAGATCTTCCTGTCTCTGCCTCTCAAGTCCTTGGATTAGAGGCATATACAATCATGCCTACCAAAACTTGTAAACCATATCATCAGGGCAGTGATCCTATTGGTCCTGATTTTGTTTCCAACAACCTATTCATAATGGTGACAGATATTTTGTGTCAGGGCGAGCTGAGCTGCCACAATTGTGGGATTCCCTTTCTGTGCAGGATGGGAAGGACCGGAGCCGGGCAGAGATGAAGGGCACAGTAATAGCTTGGTAGGTTGGCATGTCCCCTAACCTAGAGGTTGCCCTCCTGTGACTGTCCACCTCTTCTCCACAGAGAGCTCCTGCCCTCTCTCCTCCTTCCTTTCTTATGAATGTTTCCAATGTTGTGACTCAGCTCTTACCAGCAAAGATGCTTGTGTCAGGGACAGAAAACTATCACAGTCTGTTAAGTATCTTGATAGTGATACCCTTTCCAAAGGATATAGAAAGTTTAATGTGTTTTTTCCCAGGTTTTTATAAAATGATACTTGGTATTCTGTTGTCTTGATAAAATTTTAACTTCTGAAATACAACCAGTTATGTTGTAAAGAGGGCCTGCTTACTGCATTTATAACATGGATTTTCATTTTCTCACAGGAGAGTCCAAGTACTTTTGCTCAGTTTGCGGAAAGTCTTTTCACAGGGGTTCCGGACTTAGCAAGCACCTTAAGAAGCACCAGCCAAAGCCTGAAGTTCGAGGCTATCATTGTACACAGTAAGTATTTAATATGTGAAGTTAATTCCACTTTTTTTTTTTTTTTTTTTTTTTTTTTTTTTTGAGTCAGGGTTTATCTGTGTAGCTTGTAGACCAGGCTAGCTTTGAACTCACTGAGATCCACCTGCCCCAGCCTCCTGAGTGCTGAGATCAAAGGAATGCACCACCACTGTCCGGCTCAATTTCACTTATCTTACCTGGCATATTTGAATATTGCTTTTTATAAGAAAACATTCAAAGCTAACATTAAACTGTAATTTCAGTTTACTGAGTGATCAGTCTACCTAACGCTTACTGTTTGTTTGTTTGTTTGTTTGTTTGTTTAAGAGGTTTTTTTTGTCTTTAAATGATTAAGAGACGCTCCTGGGTTCTAGGGGAGAGAGGTCTACAACCAGTAGGCTCCTGTGTAGGGTTCCTTGAAACACTGTAATTGTTTTTCTTTCCCTACCATTCTTCTCTGTTTTCTTTCCAAAATTACCTAACTTTTAAAAATTGAAGTTAAACTCAAAAATCGAAAAGTGATTTATCACCTTATGTCATATTGAGTAGGCTCCAGCTTCCCCAGCCTCTCCAGTTCATCTAGGGGTCATGCGCTTGCAGATTCCCAGATGGCTGGCAAGGACCACTACTGTGTTTCAGTTCAGTGAGATTAAATCTACAACATTTGACCCCACCTTAAAGGGAGTTTTTAAATACATTCATAATTTTACAAATAGGATGACTAATTCTAGAATCCCTCCACAACTCAAAACAGTCATATTTCTCCAACCATAGATCCTTGTAGTATTACAAACTGTTATTAGGAATGCAAGCTGTTGTCTTCAAGGCTGCTGCTCAGCTCTAGGGAGCAAAATAAGGGTCAGGATAAATTTAAAATGCCATAAAAATTTAGGTATTCAGTGTTTTTCCTAAAGATTTGTTTATTTTTATAGTATGTGTATGGGTGTTTGCCTGCATGATTGTGCCTGGTTCATGCAGAGGCCAGATGTTGGCTCTCTTGAACTGGAGTTACAGATGCTTGGAGCTGCTTTGTGGGTGTTGAGGATCGAATCTCTTGAGTCCTCTGCAAGAGCAAGTGGTCCTAACTGCTGAGCCATCTGAGCAGTGCTGGTCATTGCTCTTCTTGATTAACTGTTTGTTTGCTGGACATTGTAAGCTTTTTTGTCTTTGAGATTTTTGTTGTTGTTGTTGTTGTTGTTGAGATAGGGTCTTTTTATTTAGTCCTGGCTTTTCTGAGTCATTGTTTTGAGGGATGCGGTTTTACTGTGTAAGCTCTGGCTTTCTTGAAACTTCTTGGGTAACTCCATGGCTGGCCTGGAACTCAAAAGAGATCTACTTGCCTCCAGGATGCTTAAGATTCAAAATATAGTTTTCTTACTCCCCAATAAAGTTAAGCAGTTGCTCTAAATCTTTTATGGATAAACAGGTTTTTGCCATTTTCTACTCTGCTGTATTTGCTAGTTTTATTACAATTAGTCTCATTTTAAAGTAAAGATAGAGTTGTCCTTGGTGGCACTGCCTGTATCCTGGTACCTGAGGTGAGGCAGGAAAATTGCACATTTGAGACATGATTGGAGTGAAACTCCATCTCAAAACAAATGCCCCAAATTAATAATAATAATAATTTTTAAAAAGTGAAAGAAAAAAAAAAAACCCAGCAAATATACAGTGGACTTTTTTTTTTTTTTTTTTTTTTTTTTTGAGACAGGGTTTCCTCTTTGTAGCCCTGGCTGTCCTGGAACTTGCTTTGTAGACCAGGATAGCCTTGGACTTACAGAGGTTTGCCTGCCTTAGTCCCAGAAATGCTGGGACTTAAAGTATGCGCCACCAACACGTGGCCCCAGGTACAGTTTTTCATCAGTACCTTTTGTTGTTGTTATCTGTGGAAGAAAATACAACCTAACTGGCTTGAATGAAAAGTCAAGTCTGGAGGTCTTGAGAGGTTTGTCTGAGTTGGATTCAGATTGATTAGTATCTGGTTTCTCTCAGGCTCCATATGGACAGAGTCTAGCAGTGGTTTCAGCTTCTCATCCTTTCAACTAAATTGTCAAGATTCTTTCCTGGTAGTTCCTGTAAAAGTCCCAAGTTTCACTCTGATTGGATCAAGTTAAGTCATTTGGCATCCCTAAGCTGATTGCTGCTACCAAGGGCATGCTGTTATTGTCATTGATGAGGCCTGAATCATTGCTTCATTCCTAGTATCAGTAATGAAGCCTACCTTCCTAACATGGACAGAAGAAAGGGGATGAAGGGGATGTAAAAAGAGGGAGCAGAAGAAAGGGAAAAGGAGAAGGAGAGGTGGGAACTTTTGAGTAGGCAAGATGCCTTCTCAAGCTTTTTGAGTGTTCTAAAAAGAATTTAACCTTTGCACCCTTAATGCAAGAGTGAAACACTGGGTCTCTCCCACTACCCTCCTCTCTCTGATGCTTTCAATTTGGGATAATTTTGTGAAGCTTCAAAAATGTAATGTAATATAGTGAATTCTTGGAGAATTGTCTTAAAGATGATCCAGTTGTGGGTAATTAAACTTTATTACAGATGTGAAAAAAGTTTCTTTGAAGCTAGAGATCTGCGCCAGCATATGAATAAGCATCTTGGTGTGAAGCCGTTTCAGTGCCAATTTTGTGATAAGTGCTATAGTTGGAAGAAAGATTGGTATTCTCATGTGAAGTCCCATTCTGTCACTGAGCCTTATAGGTGAGTCAATCTGAGAAGTATCTAAGGTCATTGAGAAATATACACACTTTCAGTTGATTCTTATGGCCATTATTTGGAGAAAAATAATTTGGGCCCTTTCTGTTTTAGGTGTAATATATGTGGCAAAGAATTTTATGAAAAAGCTTTATTCAGGAGACATGTAAAGAAAGCCACCCATGGGAAGAAAGGAAGAGCAAAGCAAAACCTGGAACGGGTGTGCGATCAATGTGGAAGAAAATTCACTCAGCTGAGAGAGTACAGGAGACACATGAACAACCATGAAGGTAACATACATTTGTCCTGTTAGAAGAGACATTCTTATTTTGTCAGCTCTTTTACCTGTTATCTTCTCTCTTGGTAGATTAATCCTGTATCTTGAAAGATTTATTTAAGTGATACTGAGTCTGAAACTTATTTGGAGACTCTTATCCTAAGAGTATAAGATTGCAATTAAAGGGTAAGATCATGGCAAACTCACAGTTGTTCATAAGTAACTTCTATTATGAGAGAGAAATTATAGTTCAAAACCTTGGTTAGTCCATTGAAAACTATTAGATGCTGACTAAAAGATGACAGCAAAAAATGAAATGTCTGTGGATTTCTGTACTTTAAAAACATTTGCAATTCAGTTTTCATATATATTAGCATTTGGAACCTTACTCAACACGACCTCTATGCCTTTTCTTTCTTTTTTTTTAATAGGAGTTAAGCCCTTTGAGTGCTTAACATGTGGAGTAGCTTGGGCTGATGCCAGATCACTAAAACGTCATGTCCGAACACATACTGGTGAACGGCCCTACGTGTGTCCTGTGTGTAGCGAAGCTTACATAGATGCTCGGACACTTCGTAAGCATATGACTAAATTCCACAGAGATTATGTGCCTTGCAAAATCATGCTGGAGAAAGACACTCTGCAGTTTCATAACCAAGGAACTCAAGTGGAACATGCTGTCAGCATCTTAACTGCAGACATGCAGGAACAAGAAAGTGCTGGGCCTCAAGAGCTGGAGACTGTGGTGGTGACAGGAGAAACTATGGAAGTTCTTGAAGCAGTGGCAGCTACGGAAGAGTGTCCCTCGGTATCTACGTTATCTGACCAAAGTATCATGCAGGTGGTTAACTACGTGCTGGCACAGCAGCAAGGGCAGAAGCTGTCTGAAGTTGCGGAGGCCATTCAGACTGTTGAAGTAGAAGTGGCGCATGTGCCGGAAGCAGAGTGAGTACCGCAGCCGCAAGAGAGACTGACTGCCCAGTGAGCTCTCAGAGCACGCGTTTACAGTTTGTCACCACCCGTGTAGACTTCATATGTGAAGCTGGGCTGATGGTGACATTGCTAAACTCATTGTCTGGCCAATGAGTTTTGTAGGAAAGTCCACTTTCTGTAAAGAAATTGAAAACAAAAATCTGTTGGATCGAAGTAGTTGATCATGGTATGCCTTTTATGAATTAATGTTTATAAATGTACAAATTTAAAGATGTGCAGTTCCATTTATATTGACATTATTTTATTACATATTTTGAATTTAAAAGGCTGCACGGTTGGCTTTCCTTCTGTTTTATTCTCAAAATACAGAGGTTCTGTGACTATTTGCTGTTTGTGGATTTAAAAAATTCTAATATAAAGTATATCTGTAAGATGCATAAGTATATTACATTTTAAAAATGCTTTAGATCTATGATTCTTGACTTATTATTTATTTTAACTGCTTCTAAGTCGGGGATCTATCTAGTCTGTCTTGAAGCACTTAATGAGTTCTGTGTTGTAATCAAGTTTGCATAATTTATTTATCTGTATGGGGGACCCACAAATGCAAAGCTAATTTTAAAATACCATTAAAATGCATGAGATGTCTATTAAAGCCTTACTATACTATCTCTTCAAGGCAAGTAATTGGCCATGAGAAAAGAGTACTGTTATTAAACACTGTTGATGGGAAGTTTCTGCTTGATAACATTGGACTTTAAATGGAAAAAAATCAAAACTGATTCTTTTGCTGAAGAATGAACAAGTTAACGAAGAAGTTAAGTTTGGTATGTTTTAGCTTTTGTATCATGTTTGTTTAAATTTGTTGCAAATTACATCTATAGTGGTAATATGGATGCTATATAATTGTTAGATAATTTCAGAATGTTGAAAATTCAATGTAGCCCTCATTATACTGTGTTATATAAAAAATTGATTATGGTACTATCAAATTGCTGAAAGTATTTGAAAAGTTACCTTAAAACTAAATTATATTCATTCATGTGTTTGATTTTTTTTTTTTTAATTTCTCACCTTTCTGAGTTTTCAGATTTTGAAAATAAGTATGGAGATATGCCACATTTCTTTATAGAAAACTATCGTTCAAGCTATAATTGTTAAAATTAAGCTTTTAGGTATTAGAAGCTTTCTTAAAGTATAAAATTAAGATATAAACAGATTATATGTAAATCATTCCTAAAGCACAAGAAATGAATGTGCCTTGATGTACATATATAATATTAAGATGCTTATTCCAGTTTACTTTCAAAATGGCTTTAAGGTTAAGGAGTAAATGTGACAGCCCTGCATGCATTTTATTGCATATGTAATGTGTGCATTTGCAAATTTGGTGTTGTTTTAATAGCTGTGTGACTTTCGTTTTAAAGGTGAATCTATATACAGCCCACAACTTCATATAGGCTATTCATTGGTCATGTCCAATGGTTAATGAAAAAGTATTTCAATGTAATTAACATTTGAAATTGTCTTTTATGTTCCATTTTCACCATTGTTAGATTTAGTTAAATGTATAAGATCATAAATGTATGTCAGAAACATGTAAATAAAAGATGTTCAGTCTTATTAAAAGCAAAATTTTGGAGTTGACCTTGACATCATTTTCAGTCTATACCATTGTTATAAAGGGCGAAGAAATTATTTTTGTGGGTATGGTCTGTGTACAGGCACTTACCTATTTGTACAAGTGTGGAAGCCAGGGGTCAACCTTATCTGGTGTCTTCCTTTATTCTCTACTTATTTGTTATAATTTTTACTTATACTTTTAAATGTGTGTGTTTGTGTGATTGCATGTGTCTATATTTGTGTGGGAGATGTGAGGGGTGGGTTCATTTCCTCACTGTATGGGTCCCAAACTTTGAACCATTAGTATTTGTGTCAGGTGAATTTACAGAGTCATCTCTTGTTGGCCTTCTGCCTCATTTTCTTTTTTTTAGACTTTTTATTTATTATGTATACAATGTTCTGCCTCTTTGTATGCCTGCATGACAGAACAGAGCAGCAGATCTCATTATAGATGGCTGTGAGCCACCATGTGTTTGCTGGGAATTGAACTCTGGACCTCTGGAAGAACAGTCAGTGCTCTTAACCTCTGAGCCAGCTGTCCAGCCCCTCCTGATTTTCTTGAAAGTATGTCTCTCTCACACACACAAACTATCCAGGCTGGTGGTGGTGCAAGCCTTTAATCCTAGCATTCAGGAGGCAAAGGCTGGTGGATCTCTGTGAGTTCCAGGACAGACTGACCTGTTACACAGAGAAACCCTCCTCTCAAAAAACAAAACAAAAAGGCCTGCCTCAGAAAACCAAAAAATGGTGGGTAGGAGGGAAAAGTACAATAAGGGGCTGGAGATACGACCCATCATTTTAAAAGCTCATACCGCTCTTTGAAAGGGCCTGAGTGCCAATTACCTACATCAGGCAGTTCATGATCTGTAACTGCAGTTCCCAAGGAGTCCAATCACTCTGGTCTCCTGGGGAACCTGCATGTCCATATAAACACACAAACATAAATGAAAATAATAAAAAATAGATCTTGTACAGTTGCACATAGAAACTAATTTAAAAGCTTTCAAAACTTAAGCAAAGTTTTGTTTTGTGTTTTTTTTTTTTTATTTTTTTGGTGGATTTTTAATGTGTATGCACATGCCTGTGGGAGCCAGAGGATGGTGGATCCCCTGTAATTATTAGGTAGTTATGATTTACCCAACATGGGCTCTGGGAACCAAGCTCCCAAAGTACTCGAGCGCAAAATCATCACTCTGGTTCATGTTTTGTTTTTGAGACAGGTGTCACGCAGTAGCCTCCTCTGGCCTGGAACTGACTGTGCAGACCAGGCACACAGGTGTTGAACCTGTAGCATTTGTCCTGATTTTTTTCTCCTGAGTACTGGGACTACCTGTATGTGCCAACACGGCCAGCCCAGTACAGTTGTAATACCATATGGAAAAGTCTGTATTTCATCTAGTGATTGTTTAGTACTGGAATTACAGTTATTTTCTGTTACTGCTTCTGCCATTAGAGCGATTTGGACCACTGACCTCAGTAAAGAGACTAGGTTGTCTTTCAATTCTGTTTTTGCCTCAGCCTCCCAAATGTTAGAATTATAGGTTGAGAGTCACCTTATGTATTTTTCTACTTATCTCAAAGGGTAGTGATTGTTTGCAGACTCTCTCCTGGTTACTTAAGCTTCTAGATGTGAAGTTAACTTACACATTTCTAGGGTTTACTGTTTGGGGTTCTATTTAATGTAATGTATATGGGTATCTTGCCTGTATATGTCTGTGCACCCAATACCCATGAAGTCCAGAAGAGGGTGTTGGATCTTCTGTAACTGGAGTTAAAAGATAATTGTGGGTGCTGGGAATTTTTGGTGTTGGGGGCTGGGTGTTGAGACAGTTTCTCTGTGTAGCTTTGGAGCTTGTTCTGGCTCTCACTCTGTAGATCAGGCTGGCCCAGAACTCAGAGATCCACCTTCCTCTGCCTCCCGAGTGCACCACCATCACCACTTGTTTTTTGTAAACTCTCTATACATGTGTCCTGCTCATAATTTTGTCAAACCTTGGAATTTAACAAGTCTTCTATTTTGCATGTAAAGTTAGCCCTCTGTGGTACAGTATTATTTTCAGGTGTGTGACTTGTTTCTGTTGTGAAGCTTTGATTCTTTGCCTGTCTAAAACACCTCATGGTCCTAATGAAGAGCTGGATGGCCAATAGCAAGGCAGGAGCAAGGGTAGGTGGGGCTGGCAGGTAGAGAGTATAAATAGGAGGAGAAAGGAGAAAAAGTAAGAGGAGGACATCAAGGACCAGACAGCCATGGAGTAAGAAGAAAAATAAGATTAGAAGAAAGATAAAAGCCCAAAGGGAAAATGTAAATGGGTTAATTTAACAAAAGACAAGATAAACCTCTGTGTGTGAGTTATTGGGGAACTGAGTGGTGAGTCCCCAAGAGCCAAAAAGAGCACAAACTTCACACTATAACCCTCAACTCTGCTGAAAAATATATTAGCAAATTTATTGAAATTTGTGAAGGTACTTAAATAATTATACTATGGGTTTTTTTCTGTTGTTTGTATTTTCTCAAGTTTTGGAGTTTGTTGCTACTTTTGTTGAACCTTTCCCAAGAGGTATGAGCTCTTCTCTATCAGGGTCTGCTGTTTTCAATATTTACTGACAAAGATTCAGCATTCATGTTGCATCTTGATCAGGTAAGCAACACTATTAAGTTGTAGCCTTGATGCTGGAGAAATGGTTCAGTTGTGAAGAGTGCTGCCTGCTCCTGCAAAGGACCAGGGCTCAGTTCCAAGCAACCACAAGGCACCTTAGTGCATTCTAGAGGCTTCTCTGGGTATCAGGGGTACAGACATACATATGTAGGAGAAAAACACCAATTCATGAACAGAAAATAAAAATAATAGCCTTTGAAAGGTGATCATTAGGTTGTGAAGGCTGCCTCCGAGAAGTAAATTAGTGCTGTAACAGGTCTAGGTATTTTGGTCTCTTTTCTGCCTTCAGCCAAGTAATGCAGCAAGTGCCATCTCGATGTAGAAGCCAAAGTTCTAGGTCTTGGACTTCTGCTTCTGGGTCTGGGAGAGAACGGTCTATATTCTTGTTACAGTTATCTACAAATTACATTCTGGTACTTTGTTCTAGCAGCATAAGCCTTACCTTTGGGAGCCAGTTAACCCATGTCCAGGATTGGTCTTTCCTGATGAGTTTGCTGGTTTCTGCTGGATTGCTCAAGGGACTATTTTATTAACCCTACAGCATGTGACCTACCTAGTGAGCAACTGCAATCTGAATTCTTGGGCAATGTGAGGATAGGTCCACTGTCATTTTTATGCTGGTGAATATTTTTGCTGGTTTACACTTTTGAGTGAAGGAGTGCTATTCATTAGTTTCTGTGGACCCAAATGATCTCTTCACAGTTTGTCAAAAGCCTTTAAGACCAATAATCGCAGCCAGGCTTAGTGGTGCACGCCTTTAGTCCCCTCACTGGGAGGCAGAGGCACGGAGATCTCTGTGATTGATGCCAGTTTGATCTACATAGTGAGTTCCAGAACAACCAGGGCTTGCTGACTCCAAGTATCTTTTGTTGTTTTTTCGAGGCAGGGTTTCACTGTGAGTCCTGGCTGTCCTGGAACTTACTCTGTAGACCAGGCTGACCTCAACCTGAGATCCACTTGCCTCTATTAAAGTGTGCCCCACTATTATACCCAGCTTGATTCTTTAAAATTTTTAATTTTGCGTTGTCTATATGCCACAGCTGTAGAGGTGTTCACACAATGACAGGTGCACACGCACACAAGCATGCTACACTATAGAGGTGCTCACTCAAGGGTAGGCTTTTACTGGGCTTATTCAGCTTTGCTCTTTTTCCATTTCTGATCAACAACACTGTCTTAGTTTTATAATAATTTTGTTAGAGTAAGTCCGGATTTTTTTTGGGGGGGGGGCGGAGTGGCTTGAGACCCTATGTCCCTGGCTAGTCTGCCTACCTCGACATCCTATGTACTAGGATTACAGATGTACTCCACCAGGCCTAGCAAAATCAAAGTTTTAGTTTCCTGAACCTACTAACATATCTGGACTATCTTTAATTCCTCTCAGACATTATTTTTACAAATAATGTGTTTTCATGGATATTGTAAATAAAATGTCCCCAGCTGGGCAATGGTGGTTCATGCCTTTAACCCTAACACTCAGGAAGCAGAGGCAGGTGGATCTCTAAGTTTGATGCCAGCCTGATCTACAAAGCAAGTTCCAGCTGAAGCAGAGTACACAGACATACCCTGGCTTGAAAAAACAAAACAAAAATAAAGTCCCCAATACCAGCACTCAGGAGGTAGAGGCAGTTGGATCTCTGAGTTCAAAGCCAGTCAGGTCTACAGAGTGAGTTTTAGAACAGCTAAGGCTACACAGAAGAAACATGTCCAACAATTCCCCCCATCCCCCTTCAAAAAAAAAAAAAAAAAAACCAGAACCAAAAACCCACAGGGATCAGTGTTATCACCTATAGAACACTAAATAAATTTAAAAAGGAAATACTACATACTCCCCTAATTGAGAGATCTAGGACCTTTCCACAAGGTCATAGAGAATATTAACCTGCCTCTTGATAGGCTGAGGCAAATTTGAGTCTAGTCAGAATAAAACTGAAAACTAAAGATGAACATTTTTGTATGTTCCATTTAAGAATCTAGAGAAGCCAGGCAGTGGTGGCCTTTGATCCCTTGGAAGCACTTGGGAGGCAGAGGCAGGTGGATTTCTAGAGAGTTCAAGGCCAGCTTGTTCTACAGAGTGAACTCCAAGACAGCCAAGTCTACAGAGAGGAAACCCTGTCTTTGAAAAGAAAACCCAAACCTAGCGGCAAGAGCAGGAAAAGGTGCTGGCTGCTAAGCCCGCTGACCTAGGCATTGACTTGAATTACTGCAAGATGACCTCTGACCTCTGACACGTGTACAGTGGGACGTGGGCAGCTATCTATTCTTTGTGTTCAAATAGTTTGCTTGGAATCAGAGGGCCGAGCTTAGCCACTAGCTAATCAAAATCAACCATAGAGGTTTGGAGGACTGTAGACAGAGAGGAGACAGGAAGTAATGGGGGGGGGGCTAAAAGGACCTCAAATAGGAAGAGGTAGGAAGTCACTGGTGGCTGCTCCCTTTCTTCTCTGACCCTTCAGGTTCTTACCCCAATATCTGACTCCTGATTTTTTTATTAATAAAGAATTAGTTAAGGCTTCCAGCACCCAAATGAATACAGTAGAAAAAGAAAAGTAAATAGGGTGAATAGGGGCAACCCATGAATTGACAATGAAGTGGCTCTTGGACCAGGGGTAGAACAGTGGTGTAAATGGCGTGTGAAGCTCTATACGACAGTGTAAGGAAGAGTAATAGACGATGCTGACATTCTGATCACTGGCTAATGAGTAATGTGAGGGTTCTGGGAACATGCATCTGAAGGTGTTTTCATTCCCCAAACAAAGCACGCCATCATGCCATGCATACAAAATACTTTTTAAAAATGTAAGAAACTATTACATAAAATAGAAAATAAGACCACTACCAAGTTTGACAAAATTTATTGTAGTTTTAGTAAAGACATTCAGCTCAGTCGTCTCTCTCTCCTCATCTTGACCTCAGGTTAATATGTCATTTGAGTCAAGTAAAGAATATGTAGGAGAGATGTTATTTCAACAAACAGTAAAATGGACAAATGAACAGTTGGCCTACATAAAAGTTAAATTTATGTATCTTGATATACTTAAGTCATGTAAGAACTAACAGTGCTATGTACATTTCCATTGTTTTACTTGGGGCTTATTAGTAAACCTAAATGTAGTGAACAAAATGTTAGGGATATCCATAGGCTGCTTCTTGGAAGTTTTTATGTTAAAAATGCCTAGTGAATAATTACCACCAATGAAACTCACCAAAGCTGCCTCCAAATTTAACATTGCAATTTTCAAGGAAATATCTCATTTCTTTTGTCTGTGACTATTAAAGATGCATTAACTGTCACATTAAAAAAGCCCATATACAATACAAAAATACAAAACAAACACCCCGCAATACACAAATCTAAGAGTATATGTGGTGAGACTTCATAATGAAAATGTGTTTGAAGAAGCATTTTCTGTCATATTTCAGCATTAAAGTGTGCTTTTGAAATCACTGGTCAGCATGTATACAATTAAAAGCATGGAGTTGTACAAATAAATCTGTGAGTTCAAATCGGATCTAATACATTAGTAACTTAAATGCTTCAAAAGTCACAGAAAGTGCACTGCCTTATCTGCTTTCATACAATGTTAAGATTTTTTTTTTCCTTTTTGGTATTTAAACCTTTAAAAATAAAAAGCAGCCAAATACTTAAAGCAGTATGTACATTTATATTTTTGGTGGGGGGTTTTAACTTTAAAAGAAACAGCTTCCTTATGATTTGCCTCAAGTTCTGGTGGAAATGCTTATAGGAACTAGAAAAAAACCAAGAGAAGCACATTCAAAATACTGATTTACTTTGGTAGCAAATAGTGTTCTTTGAAGACTCCTGAATGGAGACAACTTCCATGAAAGTGAAGTGGGCTGTTTTTAATAATACTTCACACAAGAACTTTTGAAAAAAGAAAATTGTTTTAAACAAGAGCAAAGCGTCTATACCCACTGATAGCGATGCAATACTAGTATATGATAACCTAAAACAAAATGAAATGCCCATAGGAAAAGGTCTATTTTAATTTTGTCTAAATTTACTTTCAGTCCATAGTCCAGTAACACTGTCTTCTCAATCCAATACTCCCTCTACAAGGCTGCGTGCGAACCAGACAGTTGAGGCAATAAGGGAGTGGAGTCGGGAGGAACTGCTCACAGTTTTAAGTAGACAGTAACTTTTGGCTTCCCTCTTAATGTGCTAATAGTTGTGTCTAAAAAAATATGCAATTCTTAGAAAGGTACCACTTCTGATTTCTTTATTATCTGTAACCTTTGGAAACTAATCACATGAAACTACAAAATTAGCAAATGTCTTGAAATCTGTATATAAAACATAAATTACCTCTAATTTCAAACTCTCATTTATTAGTGTACCACTCAATCTTTAAAAAAAAAAGAAAAAAAAAAAAAGGAAAAGAAAAAGAAAGGAAAACAGAAAAAGAAAAAAACGGCTCCAAAGCTAGTCTCGCACCATTCTTTACAAAAGGAGACTGTTCCTTCTAACTGCACCCACCCATACCCAATCTCAAAACACTTCATTTAATTGTCTTGGTCATGTACATTTCCAAGATGAGACTTTATATTTCGCTCCCACAGCTTCTGATTATCGGAAAAGCCATGCTTTCCTTTATTAAAGGAGTTTGGTCCAGCTGATGTTGGTGTGTCCCTGTTAAAAGAAATGCAATATATTCAAATAAATACAGACTATCAGCAGCCCCTACAGATTTTTTAAATGTCCTTTTTATAAAGAGTTAAGACTTCACATTCATTAAGTCTGCAGTGAGGACAGGAGTAGAGAGCCTGATGTTTTGTTTTCTCTTGACTATTCAAGACAGTGTCTGTTAGCTCAGACTATCCTGGAATTCAGAGATACACTTGTCTCTGCCTTCTGAGTGAAGGATTAGAGGGATGCGCCTCTAGGCCCACCCTGATATTTTTTCCCTTTTGTGGTATTGAGAAAAGCCTGGGGACTAGTGTATCTCAGCCAAGAGTTCTACCACTGAGCTACATTCCATACCAAATGTGTAGTTTTCAACACACATTTAAAGTACTGATAATACACAGTTAACAGCTGACACCACTGCAGCTCTTAAAACTGCTGCCTGAAAACTGGAGGTAGGCAGAAACTCAGTTGTAGAGACTTATCCAGATTACCAGACTCTGGGTTCAATTCCTAGTACTGCAGCAAACAACAAACAAATCTGTAGCAAAGTAAGTGTCATAAAACCCACAAATAAGGTTAAAAAGTTAATCTGATGGCTTATCACCACCATTTGTAAAAATGAAACAAAACTCCAAAGTTGTGTGAGACACAGAAATGTGCAGGGTGTCATGTTTTATGTGAACTGCTGTTTCAGTCTCACACTTGAAACCATGTGTATACTGGGTGTCATGGCACACACCGTTAATCCACCGTTAATCTGGAGGCAGAGGCAGGTGGGTCTCTGTGAGCTGAAATCCAACCCAACCTAGTCTATATATCAAGCTAAAATAAAAATATATAACAGTAAAAAACTATGTGTACTTTGTTTGGACCCGCTAACAATAGCAGATATATTTCTTATTTTACTCTGCTAAGATGACAGGCTGTCAAGCACTGCACCTGCTGCTATTTGAGTCAGACACTTAGAGCTCAAATGCAATAGTATGGACTCATGTAAAAAGTGTGCAATTTTTTCTTTCCCTTGATTTTCCCCATAACTCTGTAATAATTATGAACTACGGTACCTTCCAATATTCTTCATCCTCATCTTAGCTTCTGGAGGCATTTCTTCTGGTTCACTCTGCAGAACAAGTAAAGTGATATGAGTACATTAAAATTACTAAATCAACAAAAGAGCCTTGTCTCAACACACACACACACACAGACAGAGAGAGAGAGAGAGAGAGAGAGAGAGAAAGAGAGAGACACTAAGTGAAGACACTCAATACTGAGCTCCGATTTTATTCTTTGTTATGGCTCAAAAATACTTAAGTAGAGGAGGCTGGCGAGATAGTGCAAAGGTTAAGAGCAGGCTCTTCTCTTCCAGAGGACCTGAATTCTGTTCCAGCACCTATGTGTGGCAGCTTCCAACAGCTGTACTGTGGCTGCAGGGGGACCTGCTGCCTCTGGCCTCTCAGGGCACCCACATCCCTACATGATTACATACATAGTACACACACACACACACACACACACACACACACACACACACACACACACACACAATTTAAATCTATTAAAGCTATTTTCACATAAAATTTAAGAAGGATAATGAGAAAGGTAACTCTCATAGCAAGGATGTAGATTATTTATACAACCAAAATACAATACCAAAGGTTGCTCAAAAGCCTACAGATAGAAGAAAAGTATGTCAAAGAGACACATGAACTCCATGCTTTCTGCTGTACTTTTCACATTGGCAATGACACAGAATCTACCTAGGTGTCTATGAGTAAATGGTTCAAGAAAATGTCAAGTGTATATTCCCAAGAGAAAATTTTAAAATTGACTCTCTTGGGTGGGAGATGGGGCTGTGGGTGTCCTGAGAGGACAGAGGCAGTAGGTTCCCTGCTAGAACAGAATTCAGGCCAACCTGGTCTACAGGCCAGCTATGGATACAAAGTGGACTCTCTTAAGAAATGAAACAAACTCCCAAATTTCTTTAAAATTAAGGAAGACAGTGAGTCCAAATGGAGAATAAGCATCTAAGGAGACAGTCACACTGTTACATTACACATAAAGCTGTTGCGATACAGATCCCACCAGTTCCCATTTCTATATTTTCCACATTATCTTTCTCTTCTGGACTTGTGCACATCAGCTGAGTATGGTAGAGTGGTAAGATCAGGAGTTCAAGGCTATCCTCAGCTACCTAGTGAATGCAGGGGCTAGCCTTAGCTATAAGAGTTCCTACCTCAAAACCAAAACAGTCAAGTGCGGGCCCTAGTGCCTTCAATCTCAGCTTGTGTAGTATACACAGGGCTGTAGCCAGCTTTGAACCTCCACACCACATAAGATGTGTATGGTATGTACGTGTATGGTGGTACGTTTCTGTAATTCCAAGACATGAAAGGTGGCGGCAAGAAGAGCTGAAATTCAAAGCCATCCTCAGCTATATATCAAGTTCCAGGCCAGTCAGCCTGAAATATGTGTGACCATGTCTTTAACAAAGGGGGGAAAAAAAAACAACGCTGGAAAATCCCACTAAAATCCTTTAGCATAGTAGGGTGTCAACACTATAAGTAGACTGGAGAACTGGGACAGACAGAGGAGTAGACAGACACCTAAACCTCACTCCAGAATACACCTGCACTACTATCCCTGCTACAAATGCACCATGCAGCACGACACAGCTGCTCTTTGTAACCTGCCAGCACAAGTGACATCACTGAAGGCAGGCAGCAGTACCCAGCTCAAGAGAGAAGGCTGGAGAGCTCAGTGGGTAAAGCTGTTTGCCACCAAGCCAGACAACCTATATTCAACCCCCCCCCAGGACCTACTCGTTCAAAGAATTAACTCCACAAGTTTTCTGACCTCTACACATTCAAATGAGTGTATTCCTAATATGTATTATTCATTAGCATCTGACTTGATGCTTAAGCTTCTTGCCTAAAAAATTAGCAATATTTATAAAATATACACTTAAATCAACAAAAGAACTCCCGAGAGCCATCCCCAGCAGTGGACAGGTCCCAGCAGAGGGTAAGAGTAGGCAAGGGAAGAAGTGAGTCAGGCCATGATAACAGGAGACTCTTGCAGCCTGACTGACTAGAAGCCAGAATGCTTCTTTATCTATACAGACTTCAGTAAGTAGGGATACATTCATGTTGTTCCAAAACAAAGCTCATATCATTTTTGTTTTCTGACATGCGTTTAACTTTCTCTTGCTCATCTTTTAGTCATCATTAATAAACTATGTCATTTCCAATCATTTTTCCTCAAGTTTTGACCTCTATAGTTATTTTTCATAACCATTTTTACTCATCAACCCCATTAACCCAGTTTTTAAGAATCTAGAGGCATATGACAGCCTGTTCACAGGTTGGTAGCTCTTGCAGATACAAAGACTTTAGACCAAAACAATCTTTAAACCATCCCAGGCACCCTGCCATGTCCCAAGCAGTGTATTGCTAACAATGGTCAGAGTGCCCATGAAATAAATACCCTCCCCAAAGCTACTACAGTAATTATTCAAACCCTGGAATAATACAGTGTTCATATTTTATACCTTTTAGGATAGTTTCATTATCTTTCTACATCACTCTTCGCCCATTTTGGTGTAAGTCTCTGTGCAGGAGGACAGGGGTAACTTCAGCTAATCTAACCTTGTTATTGTACATGCCATGTAATCACCTGAGTGTACAGTGGGAAGAGGCTTGCAATCTGAACTGTGACCAACTCCTCTAGCCTACCGAATCTTGTTTAGCTTTTTGAGTTCACTTTGAGTATCTTGTTCCTGTGTTAAGTGCAGGGACAGATGTTTCAGGAGTATTTCAGAGGCTCATAGAGAGACCTCTGGCTTCTTTATGTGCGTCACAACCTCCAAGGCATAAGGAAGACCTTCAAGTAGATAAGGTTATCTCTCCTAAAAGTGGGAGGGGTAGTATGCTCAGGACTTTCCTGGGGAATCATGGAAGCAGTACTACTCATGGGAGAAGGCACAAATGATTCATAGGAAATTTTCCATCAATCCAGTATCCCTAAGTTGTACAAATATTAAAACAAAGTATGCAACAGGTGGAGATGGAAACCAAAGGTAGCAAGACGGCCATCATGTGATGCGGCTCAGCTTTGCTGCATCTGTCAAGTAGCTGTGCCGGCTTTGACTTCTGCTGCTCCCATCAGATATGGCTGTGCCACAGACCCATCAAATTTGTAGGTTTGGGTGTGTACTTCAGTGCTAGAGCAGCTACGTGGCATGCACAAGGCCAGTACTTCACACCACACAAAAAAAGAAATATCCAGTTTTCTAAGGCATCACAAAGAAATTTTACTAACATTTTACTGATATGAATAATTACCATTAGTTCAATCTTTCATTACTATCTTTTTTTTCTTTTTAAAAAAGTTTGTTATTTAAACTGGGCACTGGTGGATCACACCTTTAATCTCAGCACTCAGGAGGCAGAGGCAGGCGGATCTCTGTGAGTTTAAGGCCAGCCTGATCTACAGAGCAAGTTCCAGGACAAGCTCCAAAGCAATAGAGAAGCCCTGTCTCAAAAAACAAAACAAAAGTTTGTTATTATTAAATTATACGTGTGAGTGTAAGTATGTATGTTGTATGGATAGATGCATGAGTGCAGGTGCCTGTGCAAGCAAAGGAATGGATCCCTTGGTGTTGGGAGTTACAGGTTAGTGAGCCAGCTCTCAGGAACTGAACCCTGGTCCTCTGAAAGAACAGGCATGCTCTTAACCTCCGAGTCATCTCTCCAGTCCCCTTCTTAAAGGGGCTAGTTAAAGTAAAAATAAGGGCTAGCAGGATGGTAGGTAAAACCCTTGCCATACAAGCCTGACAACCCTGATTACATTCCCTGGGTCCTACAACAGAAAGAAAGAACCGGGCCTCAAGAATTGTTCCCTACCTTCCACATGTATACCATGGCACACATGCACATATCATTCACTCTCACACACTTTCTCTCTCTCTCTCTGACCCTCTCTCTGTCCCCCCCCCTCTCTCTCATACACACACACACACACACACACACACACACACACACACACACACACTTATTAACTTACATCTTCGTCTTCATTGAAAGCTGCTGCTACTGAAAGGGTTTTTGGAGCAAGGGTTGGAACCGTTTCCTTAGGCTTCTGAAGAAGAAACATTTAAGAATTATCACAAATAAAACTTATATTAGCTTGTTTAATCAAAATAATTACTCTTAGAGGGCTCATTTTTTTCATAAGTATATAAACTTAAGAAACTCAGTATTTTGAGCAAACCCATTATCTTTGAACACTAGGGTTATGAGCAGGTAAGTTTTACTTTATTATTTTCACGTATCCAATAGCTTTACTATTAGTTAAGCTAAGGGATACACACAGAAGAAATGACTAGTAATGCTGTCTGCCCCACAGTAACCTTAACATGACTACACAGTTCCTTCAGAAGACAAGGGGAATCATACTGTGTTTCTCTACCAGTTACTTTCTACCTTTGGCCTGCAATCATGTTCGTCTACAATGCTTCTATCTAGTCCCACTGAGGTGGGAGAACCCTTCCTTCATCTTGTAAGGCCTTCGATTGGCCCCTTATTTGCACTCTTAGTTTTCCCCCTTTGTCCTTGATGCCACACTACCTTCCAATCTCAGACCCTCAGTACCACTCAACTGCACAACTATTAGAAGTAGAATATGCAGCTGGGCGTTGGTGGCGCACACCTATAGTTCCAGAACTCGGGAGGCAGAGGCAGGCGCATCCGTGAGTCCGAGACAGCCTGGTTTAAGAGAGCTAGTCCCAGGACAACCTCCAAAGCCACAGAGAAACCCTGTCCCCTGTCTACAAAAACCAAAAACCCAAAACAAACAAAAAGAAAAACAGTGTAAGCCAGGGTTAGGGACATATATATATATATATATATATATATATATATATATATATATAATCACTCAGTGACAGAGACCTGACATCCTATGAGTCCTTGAGTTCAATCCCCAACACTGAAGACAAGAGGATACTATCCATTCACAACCCTTTGCATTCTTTTTCAAACTAATGGTGTTCCTAAGATGTAAAAGGGTTTAAGCCTTGTGATTCCTTATTATGATATTCAGGCCCTTATGTTCAGGTCTCAAGGCCTTTCTCTGTTTTGTCCAAACTTAAACTTTATAGGCTTTTCTAAACATAACTCTACCACTTAATAATTATTAAATGTTAAAAAATTATTAAACTACATCAATTATTTAGAAAGGAAAGGAACTGAACTCAGAAAATGCCCAAGCAGATTAGAATTATATGAGTACATGTTTAATTTTTAAATAAGTTGAATCTATGATCAAGATGCACTATAGAAACATACACTATATGCTTAAATGGTTAAAGAATAAAACTATTATTTTTTTTAAAAATAAAGTATTTATGCAGTTAGGTCTATGTGATTTTTTTTTTATTACACATAAAAAAACCATAGGAAACAGAGAGAAAATGTTAATGAAATTAAATATCATAATCTTTTTATTCAGACTGAAATTTTCTTTTTAAAGAGAAAAAAAGCAAAAAAAGGAATCCATGGTGGGATTTGGGGGTTCTGAGAAATGGCTAGTCTTTTAGAAAGATGGCTCAAACACACTTTAATAAGAAAATGATTAAAAATTTTAAAATTTTCATTTAAAAACTCTCTAAAATGAACATCAATGGCAAATAAAGCCATATGCACCTGACATTTAAAAATTAAAAAGCAAAACAACAGAGATAGATAACCAGGAAATGCTTCCAACGAGTAACTTACTACATTATTCCTTAAAGTTAGAATAGCTGATTTAGAGTTAGTACTACAATTTGGAGGTTTATAATACTAGGCATCGACTCCAAGGCCTCTCAAATGCTAGGCATATACTCTAGCGACAGTGCAATACAACTTATTACTTTTAATATACTATGGTGAAAGGTTTTTTTAAAATTCCTAAAATATATTTTCCAGAGATTTTGTTCAACTAAGAAAAATTCTAAATGATTACTTTAAAAATAATTCTCTACAATATGCCTTTTTCTTCAACTGCTTTAAGAGGGAATTCACAAGCCTTTCCTGAAGTGTTCATTACTTTTTAACTACTTACATGTAAGTTCAGGGTCAGCTAAAGCAGCTAAAAGTTCTGAACTTTTGCTTAACTATATATACACGCACACACTTAGAGCAGATTGATGAAACAAATCTTTAAAGGCTATTACTACACCACACATAAAATAACTCACACTTGATCCAAGTTTGATGGATATGGCTGATGCTTTCTTTGTCGTCTGACTACCTATGGCAAATCCAAACTTGGAGATCTTTGTAGGCTTTGTTGGGAGGTCCGCAGCTTCTCCGTCAGCTGATCGCTTTTCAGCGCTGCGACTGGAACTTTCCCCTCCATTACTGGAAGAAACAGTCTTAGTTTTCACAGGTTTTTCTGCTTCTTCTTCAGGTCCTGGTGAAGTCGAAACAACTTACCAAGATGAGCTATTTTTACTGAGCAGAGTGATGGGAGCAGCAACCTCAAAAAGCATCTTTACAAGGAAGATACCTCTGCAGTTGTCACCTACTGACCCAACAGTCTCTTCCACTGTTAGAGTATAAAGCAGGAACTGAGATTGTGTGGCAGTACAAGAGGCTCCCATGAATTAACTAGCATAAAATACAGAGCAATTTAAAATTATAAACAGAGTTCACAAAAAGGAAATACCCTTCAGCTAAACATTACCCTATTAGTTATACATTAATCTTGGTTCCCCTTGTGGAATTCTGATGTTCAGAAATTAAAATCAACAAATTCTTTTATACAAACTAACTTGTAAATGATCAATCAAGTGGCAAGATAAAATTCAGGCTAATAAGTTACAGTATTTTCAGTAATGCAGTCCTAATCACACAAATCTAATCATGCACATGACCACTGTTAAACTTCACCGAGACTGCAATCTACAGCTTTCCCCCCTCATTTACCATACTGAACCCAGGGCTATGCATATACAAGGCACTCTACACTGAGCTCCAGCTAGTCAGGTTCTTAAGTGATGTGTTATTCAAGATACATAACCCTTGGGGTTGAAAATTAACTTCAAGATCATCTTGAGCCTTTACCCTACTCCAAAAGCTGGGCGAGCAACCGTGTTAAGCTACCTGTAAAAGCTATTCAAAGCCAGACTTTGGCTTATATACTATTTCCCATGAATGAAAGCATAGCTGATCTTAATTTCAAGAAAGTATGTAGATGTAGAAAGCAAGATGTCTTTCAACGACTTTTCCTGTATGTGCATTACATGACTTCACATCTTGAGCATCTTAGTTATTACCAAAGACTATTTAAGAACACATGGGAAAGAAATAAAAGTCGGCCTGATCTTTCTATTTTTCTTTCCAGTTCTACCCTACAGGATACATTCTGTGACAATGAGTCAAACTTACTTGTAAAGAAACAGATGATACTCTTAGTGACTACCCTGGCAAGTTCACTAAGAAAATGGGGCAAAGCTTCAATGGGAGTTCAGGGTGGGGGGTGTCAAACATAGTAACAGAGGAGTAAAGAAATCAAAGAGTCAAAACTACAAAGCTAGATCATACAGTTTGGGAACGATGCATCTTTAGATTAATGAGTACTTTGTGGCATCAAGGATTGAACACCAGGCCTAGTATGTACTCTGCAAGTGCTGTACCACTGACCTACATGCCCAACTAGTTTTCTCACTTTCAGACAGGGCCCGGCTATGTTGCCCATTCCTATGTTGCACTCCTCCTGCTTCAGCTCCAAGGTAGCTAGGATCATGAGCTTTTACCACTAAGCTAGTTCAACAACAAGCACTTTTAATAGAACATCTGATTTTGTACAAATAAAAAAAAATTCTTTGGACCAGAGTTTAGTTTGGGGATTTCCAAGAAGCAAAAGTAGCACTGAATAGTTTCCTGGGGGGGGGGGTGTGTGTGAGGGGGACCAATTATTTGTTTATACATAAAAGTCCCTCAATTGTAAAAAATGCAAGACTACTCCTCAGAAACTGAAAACCCAATTTAAAACAAATTTTTTCTTAAACTAGTAGTGGGTCTCTGCTTGTAATCCCAGCACTCAAACGACTTGAGTCAGGAGCAGGGTAAGTCTGAGGGCCACCCTGGACTACGGAGGGCATTTTAGGCAACTTGGACTAAAAAGAGACTCTGTTCTGTGCATTTTACTTGCAACCATAATCAAGTATATTTAAGCAGTAACTGGCAGCAACCCAATTGTATTCTGTGCTCCTATTTGAAGGGGTGTGTGTTTGTGTGTGTGTATATATATATATATTCATTCTATCAGCAGATGGTTCGGCAGTTAAGAGCTTACTCATCTTCCAGAGAACCTAGTTAGAGTCCCAGCACCCACAGTGGGCAGCTCACAATCCCTGTTCTGGGCAATCCAACTCTTATGGCCTTTCCAAGCACCTGTCTGTATTCATGTGCACACACCCACACAGAGCTCTTATTTCTTAGCATAAGCAGGTTCAATGTGGCTCATGAGTTATTTTCTCTTTACATAATTCTTTTAGAAATTATGTAGCAAAATATATAAAGCATATAGGAAAGAAACAAATAAAACAATGACCTAAATAAAATGGGAAAACAGCAGACAAATATATTACTAATGAGTGTTATTAGAATATTTATAAATCTAAATATGGGTCATTAGAAAATTATTTCAGGTAAATGTGAGCTTTGAAATCTATCACTGATTATTAATACTAATTCATAAGTTTTGCATGTACTATTTTAGCATATGGACTTCTTTTTTAAGGTTTTTCTTTTTTTAAGGTTTATTATGTACACAATGTTTGCCTGCATGTATGGCTGCAGACCAGAAAAGGGTACCAGGTCCCATTACAGATGGTTGTGAGCCACCGTGTGGTTGCTGGGAATTGAACTCAGGACCTCTGGACCATCTCTCCAGCCCTAGCATTTGAACTTTTAATCAAGGATCTCCACTTTCAATTTACTGAGACAGTTTGTTTTTGTTTTGTGAGTATCACTATGCAGTCCTGGCTGGTATCTGAAATCCACTATGCAGATCAGGAGTACTTCAAACTCCTACTTTGAACTTCCTTGTATACCAAAGTCTAGGATTCATCACTTAGCTTATTAAGGACATTTTGTATTTTAAAACTGTGGGGAAAAAAATGTTGAATGACTACTGATTTACTGTGAATATCTTTAGTGGTATAAATTATAATGAATAAATGAGCAATCATTTTTGAATAAGAAAGCACTTGCCAATTTGTAAATCATAATTATACAAATTGCTAGATTTTAAATGGAAAGATATTTTAATGAAGACGGCTGTCTCCTTTATAGTCATTCTAAGCAAACCATACACAATAATAGAATTCTTTTTTCATTGAATAGCTGAGATGGGGGTTGGGCTTTAGAGAACATACTTTACTTTGGGGGAAAAAAAAAACCTGGTAAAGAAATGTAATTCTACAAAGGTATCATTCATGAGCCATGTGCACACTGGAAACTTCCTTATCTGGAAAAGGACCAATAGCTGGTCCTCAGTGAGCTTCGTTTAACACAGGAAATGTGCACATCGCTGCAGTAGCTCTTGGCATAAACCTTGATAGTTTGAGATAGCTATGATTAGGTATTAAGTTCCTGGTCTCTACATTTCCACTTCAGTTAAAGAATTGCATAAAGTTAAGCAAAAACCGGTCTTAAAAAAAAAAAAAAAAAAAAAAAAAAAGGGAGCTTCCAAAGTAGACTGAAGTGAAAAAAGATTTCATCCTTAGCATAAATGAAGCCCTGCTTTTCATCTCCAGCATCAACAACAAAGTAACAAGAATGAATAGGAAAAATACTTTGTATCTCCAACACTGTGGGCTGTGCAACCCGGGAAAAAAAAAATTCTTCCAACGTCTACATAGTAAAGTTTTCCCAAAGAGGAGAATGCTTGGGGCAAATTCATCAATTCAGTCGTGTCTATGGGGTGAACTGCTTCAGTTACAATTCCTCTTTATAATTTCATTATGTCTGAAGCTAATGATGTATATGATGTTACATGAATTATGTAGAAAAGGACTATTATGTTAACAACAAAGATAATTTTTGATAATTTTTAGCAAAATAAATCTATACAATCCCCTAAACACTGTTTACCTTAGTACAGTTTAAGTTAAGATAAAAGATACCTCAGTTAAAGTTCATTAGATAACTTATGCTATAGTTTTCCTTTAAATTACTTTTAACAACAGTGGAGGAGTCTAAAGTTAACTAAAATGCTTTCAGTAGCTATTTTACTAGTTTTTTTGTTTGTTTGTTTTGTTTTTTAATGAGAAAGGGACTTGTCAAAGTGGCCATGGGCCTGTAGTTTCAGGAAGGGAAGCCTGAGCTACATGAGACCCAATCTCAAACAAAGAGGGGAAGAGGGGCTTTGGCTCAACTAGTACAAATTTTTAAAGAAGCAAATTCTCAGTCGAAAGTAACATCACATTTATCTTCTCAGTTTTATTGCCACGACAACTAACAAACTTGGTAGGCCCTGCCATTTGCCTTTATGCGCTACGTTTAAGTCTTTCGGGGGTAAGACCGAAGGGAGCTAGAATAGTGAAATATTATAACATTCTAAACAAGACATTATGATCTGCTCACACGTGTTACTTACTGGTACGACAAAAGGGCGAAGGGGTTGAGACTACGTGTTTCTTTCCCTTTATGCACACGACCAAAAATTACGGGGGTAGGAGGAACGAGAGGATAGCTGTAATCTGAGTTCAATTTCGTGACAAATTACAGGAAGATCACAGCTGCCTACGATGCCAACTAAATATCAGGCACAGGCTCCGCTGATAGCAGCCTAAGACGGACACTGTCAAGGCAGCGACTCAAACTAATTTCAAGCTTTTGCTGCTTGATCGCCCCCCCCCACGCCGCATCGCCTCCACTTATCCCACTGCAGGGTTTATAAGTACTGTATCTGAAAACCCAGCAAAGAGTGGGCTGGGGTCTTCCACCTCCTCCGTGAAGAGGGGAGCACCAAACGTAACTAACTACGTGGAACCGAGAGGCCGGCGCCCTCGGCAAGCCGGCTTGGGGCCAGCGCCCGCGGAGGCGGCTCGCCTCGCCGCTCGCACGGGGGCCGAGTGCGCAGCGGGCCCTGAGCTCTGGGCTGCCTGGCTCCCACCCCAAGCTCGGCTCGGTCACCCGCCTCCCTCCTCGGGGCCGGGTGGTAACCGGCGGCCTCTCGGCTCAGGAGGGAGGCTTCGTGGGCCTGGATCCCCGCGGGCCACACCGGGCGTGCCCGGCGCTCATCGGGGCCCAGCCCCTAACCGGGCGAGCGAGCGCCGGGTCCGTCCGCGCTCGAGATGCCGTAATCTCCCCCCGCACACCCGGGGAAGCCCCAAGAAAGGCCGGAGTAGCCCCCGCAGCCCGCGACGCTGGGGTTGTGTTCACCTCCGGCGGCTCCGGCTCGCTGCGGCTTCTCCGGCTTCTCCTCTCCCGCCTTCCCGTCCGCCATCTTCCCCGCCGCGGCCTCCCCCTGCAGCCCGGGCAAGGACGTCACGGCCCCGCCCAGCAACCATAAAGCTTCGGGCGGGCCAGCGAGGCCGCAGCCTAGAGCGGCCCTGGAACGGCCGATCGGAGCGGATGTGACGCCATGGGCTGGCCGGCCGCGGCAGGAAGTGGGTGGGTGTGAGACCGGATGAAAGTGGGCTGCCTGACCTCGGAGTGCTTGGTGGGCTCCTAGGTGCATGCATGCTCAAGGGTGGTTGTAGCTGGTCTTTTCTTTTAGTTATTGGATCGTTACGGGATAGGGCTGTGTCCTTACGGAGAAAATCCAGCAGTTACCGAACACCGTCCAGTGGGGACACCTGTCATGTACTACCATCTAATCTCCAGGATAGTCCAGTGTGAAATGATCCTTTTAATTTGTGTACTTGACACTGGAAAGCCAACTTATGGAAGATCACGTAGTAAAGTCTTATGGAAGTTGTTGTGGAAAGTTTTCCTCGGTTTTTGCACTCGTGAAAACTAAAGTGGAGGAAGCAAGCAAACATTGTTGCGGTTGAGAGCGCCTGCTGCTCTTCCAGAAGACTGCAGTTCATTTCCCAGTACCCAACCAAGTTGGGGGGTTCTCAACTGCTTGTAACTCCAGCTCCTGGATATCCAACAACCTCTTGAACTCTGCAAGTACCCTCACTCACTCACACACACACACACACACACACACACACACACACACACACACACACACACGTAAGTAAAAGTACATTTTTCAAAACGATACAATTTCAAACGCAGGAGCTGACCTCCCTAGGAAAGGGGAAGTTTGGGTTACTGGAGTCTGAGGATCAGCCTTGTATCTATCCTATATCCCTCTCTAACTAGGTTTAAAATATGCCCCAGCCCAGCCCCAATGTTCAGAATTGGTTTGAAGTAGAAGTTATTTACTTCTTGATATATTTTTTTCAAGGTTAATGTATCCTACTGTAAGAATTTTAACATAAAAGCTAGTGCCAGCGTCTTGTCTCTTAATGTGTACAGGCACAAAGAACAAGAAATGTCTTGTAGCCTTCCCTGCCCCTTTGCTAGCTCTAATATTCGTCCTTTACTTAATAATAACCTTTGCAAGCCACTTCTCTATCAAGTTGAAGACTTCTGTTAACTCCTGCTTCTCCTAGAAATCTTTAGTACATTCCTTTAGTGTTGAATGAAGTCCGTGCATTAAGTATAGCTACGTCTGTGCATTAAGTATAGCTACGGTCTCACCTGTTCTTTTTCTCTACACTTAGTAGCCCTCTGCCAAAATTTGACCAATCACTAGCTGGCAATATATATGTTTTTAAAGGAATATATGTTTTTAAAGTCTTGATCTGTCCTCTAAGCAACATTGAGAGGTGCTGACCACAGACCTTCTTTTACTTCTCTGTAAAATAACAGTGGGCTATGGGTGTACTTAAATCGACAGAGTGTCTGCCTAACATGCAAAAAACCACACTGACTTTCATCTCCTACACTGCATAAACCAAGTAGTGGCACAGGCATATAATTCCAGCACTTGGAGATATATTAGCTTGGGGTGCATGAGGCCCAGTATCCAAATAAACAATACTAGTACCTCTTCAACAGATGACTGTAGGATAAAGATATCACCCTACACAGCCAGTTCCAAGACAGTCTGAGCTAAAGCAGATCCTGCCTCCAAAACTGAAAAAACGAAGCAGAGTAAAATGGATGTTGGTAAAGTGCTTGCTACATTGAATCATCTTGTTGTCTCAAGACCAGAGTTTGGATTCCTGGTATTCACATAAAAAGCAGGGAAGCTTCTAATTCTAGTGCTGGGGAGGTTGAGTCTGGAGGATCCCTGGAGTTTGATGGCCAGCCAGTCCAGCCAAATCAGCCAACTCCAATTACAATGAAACCCTTTATCCAAAAAAGTGGCAGCAAGCATGGTAGTAGCACCTTTAATCCTACACCAAGGAGACAGAGGTAAGCTGATCTTAAAGGCAGCTGGTCTAAGCAAGATATATCTCAAAAAGTGAACCAAGACAGCCCATCTGAACATGCATGCATGCATGCATCAACACATACAAGAAATTAAAACAAGCAGCCGTATTTTTTTTATTTAAATTTCAAACATGGTTGTTTACATGTCAATCCCAGTTCCCTCACCCTCCCATCCTCCCCTATTTCCCCCACCAACCCTCATCCCATCCCCTTTCTGCTGCCCAGGGAGGGGGAGGCCTTCCATGGGGGTGTCATCAAAGTCTGTCACATCATTTGGAACATGGTCCAGGCTCTCCCCCATGTGACTAGGCTGAGGGAGTATCCTTCTATGTGGAATGAGCTCCCAAAGTCCATTCATATACGAGAGATAAATACTGACCCACTATCAGAGGCCCCATAGACTGCTGAGTCCTCCCAACTAATGTCACATTCAGGGACTCTGGGTCAGTCCTATGCTGGTTCCCCAGCTATCAGACTGGGTTCCATGAGCTTCCCCCTTGTTCAGGTCAGCAGTTTCTATGGGTTTTTCTGGCCTGGTCTTGACCCCTTTGCTCATTATTGCTCTCTGTCTGCAACTGGACTCCAAGAGTTTGGCTCAGTGTTTAGCTGTGGGTGTCTGCTTCTGTTTCCATCAGCTACAGGATGAAGGCTCTAGGATAGAATGTAAGGTAATGATCAATTTCATTATTGGGGAAGGGCATTTAAGGTAGCCTCTCCACTATTGCTAAGATTGTTAGTTGGGTTCATCCTTGTAGATCTCTGGGCAATTCCCTAATGCCAGATTTCTCCTTAAATCTATAATGGCTCTCTCTATTATGGTACCTACCTCTTTTCTTGTTCTATTCTTTACCCGACTCAATCTTCCTACTCCCTCATGCCCTCTCCTCTCCTCTTCTCCCCTTCTCTTTCTCCTAACTCCCTCTCCCCTCCCTCCATGCTCCCAATTTGCTCAGAGATCTTGTCCCTTTCCCCTTCTCCAGGGGACGATGTATGTCTCTTTTAGGGTCCTCCTTGTTTCCTAGTTTTTCTGGCAGTGTGAATTGTAGGCCCTTAGAGGCCAGAGGGTATCAGATCCACTGGAACTAGAGTTACAAGTGACTGTAGGCCACCTAATATGGTGCTGGATACTGAACTTAAGTTCTCTGCAAGAGCCCTCTGAACCATCTTCTAACCCAGACACATTTTTTTCCTTAAGAAATTGGCTTTATCTCCAAACTCACTTTTCATAATATAAGGAAATCACCTAACATGCCAGAAAAAAACAAGTTTCTAGAAAACCAGGATTGTGTTAAGCAATATGTAAAGTATCAAACATAGGCCTTAATTTCATAACTACTATATAAAATTTAGAAAGCTCTAGTCGATCTTCTCTTCAAAAAATAGTTTCTGACATGGATAATTAATATATACAATGGAGCTAGGTATGGTGGTACATGCCTGCCTATGTTTGCATCATTTGCCAGGTGGATGCTGAGAATCAGGAGTTGAAGATCATTCTCAGCATATTGTTTGAGGCTGTCATAGGTTACCTGAGTTGCCCCCTACCAAACAAAAACCCACACATACACACACACACAAAAAAAAAAAAACAAAAACTAAAAAGACCAATGAAATCTGATACTCAAAGAATCCATTAAATAAAGCTGTTATAGAATATTAATTGAAGATGTGTTACATTTGTTTAACTCTGTGAAGCTGTGCGACTTTGTCTAAAACGCCTGACTGCTCTAATAAAATGCAGAATGGCCAGCAGCAAAGCAGGAGAAAGGGTAGGCAGGCCTGGCAGACAGAGAGAATAGGAGAAATCTAGGTTCCAGAGAAGAGGAAGAGTAGAGGGATGGACGAATGAGAAAAGAAGGGGAGGAGGACTCCAGGTGCTAGCCACCCAGACACACAACACAGCAAGCCATAGAGTAAGAAGTAAAGTTATATAGGATAAAGATAAGAGCCCAGAGGCGAAAAACAAAAATCCAGCTGAGATAATTTAAGGAAAGCTGGCTAGGAACAAGCATTCCTAAGAATAAGACAGGCTAGGCAATGGTGGTGCACCCCTTTAACACCAGCACTCAGGAGGTAGAGGCAAGTGGATCTCTGTGAGTTTGAGGCCAGCCTGGTCTACAGATTCCAGTTCCAGGGTTACATAGAGAAACCATTCTCAAAAGAGAAGAAAGAAAAGACTGGGAGCTGGGTGGCAGACGCCCCAAAGAGTCAAAGAGTAAAAAAATCAGCTACAAAGCTATAACAATAACTTTTATTGTGTTCAATTCCAGATTAATCCATAATTTCTGATTGTTTCTACAACAAATAAAACATACTTTCAAAGTTTTCCAGTTAGAAAAAGACAAAACTAGTTTGTCTGGAAAGACTACTTTTAAGACATACATTATATTAACTATTTCCAATATCTTTGCTTTTTACATTATAACATTTTCTCATTTAGGTCACCTTTTCCATGTTTGTACATTTAAGGAGCCTTTTGGAAATGATCTTGTCTTAGTCTTCTTCAGTTTACTAAAAACCTCCTTAGAATGCTGAGAAATCTCTAGATAGCCAGTATGCTTTCTCCTGGGGACAAACTTCAAAGCTTCTTCCCAGCTACCTGTGTTTTTCATGGAGAGCAAAATACGGATCATTTGATCTAAGGTGAGATTCTTGCTACCGAGGTCCCATTGTAAATATTTATCTAGTGGAAGGCGTTCTGTTGCTAGATTTAGCCGTTTTGCCTTGGCTAGCGATGTGCCCACCTGTGTATTTTTATCAACAAATGATCCAATTATATAAATTTTATCATGCTTGAAGGTAGTCATAATATTGGGAGAATCTGCAGTTAAATATATAATACTGTCCTTTGGAAATAAATCTATGGGAGACTTTTCTGTTGCTGTTAAGAGCAATTTGTCCCACTTTCCACTGTAACGTTTAACTAACTCTTTCTGATAAGCACTATTTATTTTAAGATTGCAGAAATAAATGTGGAAAGGATCAACATCTCTTCTGTTCCATCCTTCACTTTCTAAAAGTTGAGAAACAGCATTCCGTAGTTCAAATGGTTTCATATAATTTTCGTAATCCATGTCAAAAACTAAAGGCTGTCCAAACTGCATAGCCTGGACACCCTTCCAACCCATTGCGATATTGATCTGCCGGTCCCAGAGTCGAAGAAACATAAACTCCTGCTGTTCTTTACTTGTGGTGATTTCTAGCAACTTGGCCTTTTTTGCTTCTTCCCTGGCCTCTGCTTTCTTTTCCTTCTTTATTTGCTTAGCTTTTTTCAATTTTTCCTTACCATACAAATACTTTAAGTATTTTCTTTGGGCTGATTTAGAAGGACATTCCATAAGGGTTTTGAGTTCTTCTTCAGTGATATGTTCTGGTACTTCACTTCCAAGCAATCTCCGCATCTCAATCATTTCTCTGGTGGCAGCTAAAGCATCTTCATCTTTGTCTGAGACCACTGAAACACCATCTTCTTGAATGCTGGATTTCATTGTAGTTTTCCACCCATCCAATTCTAGCTGTTTAGGAGGGGATATACTTTCCTTATTATGACAGGACAAAGAAGGTGCTTTGGAAGACATATATCTCTGCAGAACTGTCGAATATAAATTCCTTCTCTTCCCATGAGGAGTAAATGACACCATTAACCTGGCAAAAGGTCTTAAGAATCGGACAGTGACATTCATTTTGAAGAAATGTGAGGAGTTCCTATAAAAGAGAAATTAAATTAAGTTAGATAAAGATTTTAAAAGTTCTTGTGAATCTGGTTTCTTTCTCTCTCAGGCAGACTAAATGAGATTTACTAGTAAATGTGACTTGTGGGGTGCAGGATTCAGGACAGTGGAAGACAACAGGAAAGTTGGGTCTGCCACTTCCCCAGGGGATTGGAGCTGTGGCTACTTTGACCTCACAGCCATCAGTTACAAGCCACTTGTCAGCGACGATGGCTTTAAATTCATCTGCATTAAACTTGAAGCACTACTTCTCTAAGATGTGATCTTCCAGCTGTCAAATAAACTCAACATAGAAACTCACACATTCCTTATTTTGCAGCTTGGTGTGGATGGACACGATGGCCTGACCAATGTAAACTCTGGCCACTGTGCCTGGGGTGTCCCAGAGAACCCCAAAATACTTGTCTAGAGCCTAAGGTGGAAACAGCATTGAGATGACACATGATTATCCACAGCTGTCCCCAAGGTCCCTTTGGGGAAACCTGCACATCCAATAAGGTGCATATGCCACAAAGGAGGATAGTGTTTGCAACCATTGCACACAAGACCCCCATGGAGAAAGGAGCCTGGTTGGCTTCATTGCTGCTGAAGGTAACTGGTTTCTGAAGCACAAAGGGAAACCTCTGAACAACTTAGATGTTGCATATCACTAACTTAATTCTCTCATATACTACATCCCAACTGCAGTTTCTACTCCCCCTTCTCCTCCCAGCCCCGCCCCACTAATTTAACTCCTATGGTCCAAAGCTTGTGATCATTTACTGGTCAAGTTTTAATTTTTGTGAGACAAGGATCTTTTATGTTGATCAGGCTGAATTAAACACATCAACCTGAGTGGTCTGTCCCAGCTTCTGAAATGACTGGCACTATAGCTATGTATTGCTACACCCTGCTCCATGTTCTTATTTTATATATTAATTTGAACATATTTTTAAACAAAAGATTGACACAAATATCCTTTTTAGATTTGCTATAGAAACAGATCTGTAAGTAGGTAAGAAAGCTACATGACAATTATAATTACAAGATGCTGTAGTCTCCTTCAGATACACATCCCATCTCAAGATCTTCCATGAAACCAAAAAGGAAGACAAAATGAATAGGAAAGTTACATGAGATGAGACCTAATAAAAGATACTGAAGAGCTGCCACAATGCCTCTGTGCTTCCAAAGCAAAAATTAGTGCAGCTGATTAAAACAAATGTTTCAGCTCAGAATTCACAGCAAATACTATAAGATAAAATGTCCAAAACTGAAATACACACACACACACACACACACACACATATATATATATCTCCACAATTTTATCCTGAGTACCTAGATGTTCCTCAAAACAACGAAGATACTTAAAGTTGTTAACTAATGCAAAATGCAAGGGGGAAAACATAATTCCTGAAAAAATTCCAACCTTTGGCTTCCTGTAATGATTCTGCCTTTGTAGTGTAGAAAATGCTATAATACTACAGAAATTAAAACCTAAAAAAAAAAAAAAAAAAAAAAATGAATTCTTGCAGATTCTCCACTCTTTAGCACAGGCTGGCCTCAAACTCCAGACAGATCTGCCTGAGATTATAGGTCTACGCCCTCCTATACTCATTATGGAAACCCATTTAATTTTTTTATTTTAGCTTAAAGGGGTGTGTGTGTGTGTGTGTGTGTGTGTGTGTGTGTGTGTAGGGGTAATTACGTATCCAGACACAGTTGTGAACGTTCCAAAGTGGGTGCTCAACACCATACTCAACCCTCTGCAAGAGCACTAAACGTCTCGAACGCCGAGCCGCCTCTCCAGCCCCGTATAAGTTACATTTTAAAGAAAATAATGGAGATGGTTTTGGAGAACGCGGCTTTGCTTCAGGCAGTGAACTACTTACGATTTATAAATCACAGCTTAGCACACACGCTCCACAAGCTGCACCGGGGAGAGCACCGAGTCTACGCAGCCCCAGGACTGCAGCTGACGGGGAGCCCGGGGGACCAGGAGTGTGGCCGAACGCCGGGACTCGCTAACTGGGGAAGTCACCTGCGCGCCTCAACCTGCGCCGGAAATCCGGTATCGCCGGAAGTCCCGCCCCGTCCTCCCGGCGCTGCCTCTGACGTTTCTCCCTGCCCGCCCCCAGTTTTCCTGCTTAAAGTCGGTACCCGGATGGGCTGTTTGGCTGTCTGTTGAGTCCTGGTGAAAATGACGTCGGCCCTCGCTCGTCATTGGCGCCCGCCACCTTACTTACTAATTAGTTGTTAGAACTCGAGTCCGCTTAGCCGCTCTTCAGCTTGGCTACTCTATTTATATGTATGTCCTAACAAAACGACCTGAACGCAGATCTTGCAGTCCTACTTTAAAATTTAACTCCAGCCAGGTGCAGTGGTGCATGCCTTTAATGTCAGCACTAGCGGGGCAGAGGAATCGCTTACCTTTGAGGCCAGCCTGATGTACACAGCTAGTTCCAGAACAGCCAGGGCTACATAGGGAGACCCTGTCTCAACAAACCACCCCCCCAAAAAAAAAACCCAAAACAAACAAACAGATTGTTCAGGAACATTTGAGATATGAAGGAGAACACACACACACACACACACACACACACACACACACACACACACACAGAACATTTGAGATATGAAGGAGAACACACACACACACACACACACCCCGGGGTTCTCTTCCAAACCCTGAATTAGGCACAAACCACACCAAAACACCTGCTTTTCACAGAGATCCTTTATTAAGCAGAGAAGAAAACTTAAAGAGGCTGCATTCTTCTGACACAGGCAGAAAACCAGCAAATGATCTTTGCAGGCGTAATCTTTAAGATAGAAAAAGGGGGAGGTCTGTGTTAGAATGGGCTGGGAATACGGTGGTATATTTTTATTGGTCTTGTTAATTAGGTGACCAAAGGATTTGGTTTTGGTTTTATTGACACATGGTTTCTCTGAGGCTTTGGAGGCTGTTCTGGAACAAGCTTTTGTAGCGCAGGCTGATCTCAAACTCACGGAGATCCGCCTGCCTCTGCATGCCGAGTGCTGGAATTAAAGGCATGTGCCACCACCGCCTGGTTTCCAAAGGGGTATTTTGATTGCTGGATTTTAATACTTCCATAGCTGGACCTTGGTATTGAACCTCAGGGGGAGGAAATGGCCAGATAAGGAAATAAAGCTTGATGGCTAGCTTTAGCAATGTAATCTAACGGTTTTTTTGTTTGTTTGTTTTGTTTTGTTTTTTAAGCAGGGCAGAGGGAATGAGAGAGAAGGGCAAGGCCTGCCAGAGCCATGCATGCTGACCATGCTCCACCTGGCCATAGTCTCTTCCATATCCGTAACCACTGAAAGTCAAAATCAATACTTCAGTGCTAGAGGAAAGTCAGCGTTTTCAGCTCATCAAGTTCTTTCTGTGGTAAAATTATCCTGGCATAAGGTTCACATGTAGGAAGCTACCTTGCTTGCTTGCTTGCTTGCTGGCTTGCTTGCTTCTGCCTTACATCTCTGGTGATTAGTTTGTCTGTAAGTTCAGCCATACATGGGCAGAGGCGTTGTCTCTTGAGACAAAGACAGTAGAATCTGTCTTGTTTGAAAGTTGGCCTGGGCCTGTCTAATGCTGTGGCGATGTAGGCAGATCAGACAGATAGCACCAAGTGCAAGGGCTATGAGCCCCAGTGAGAGAGAGCTTGCCTATTCTCTAATTAATCTGCCCCAAAGTTGAAGTCCTTGTAAAAGGTCTTCTGCACAGGCAGGTGGTACTCGGGTTTCCTTGATGTTAATGTTCTTGCATGGCTAAAGCATGTTTATAATTTAAAAACTGGTCACTCCAGGATCCCCAGAGAAAAGTAACTACAACTAATGTATTCTTAATTTTAGCAGGTGTAACACAGTTATGTGTAAAAGAGAGAGAACAAGAAGCCACATGGGCCTCTCACAATAAATCCAATTGTTCCTATGGAAGGCTAGTTTGTAGATTTTGTTTTAAGATGCTAATTTGACTAGATAATTGAGTGTGTTTTGGGTGGCTAAGGCTTCAGCCAAATCACCCAATAGTTGATTCACTGTGCTTGCAGTATTTACAGATTGGGAGAGGGCTATCATAGAAAGAAACTGTAGCTGCAGTGGTGGAGGCTGCAATGGCAGCCGTGATCCCGAAATCTCCTTTTCTCTCTCCTGCACAAGTTGGTCACCTGTAGAGATCTCCAGCATTAGTACCACCTGGGGTACGTGGTCCATGACAACTATTACTTCATCTGTCCAGCAGCTAACCAGTCGTTAGACCTGCTGAGAACAATTGAGGCTTCCTCCAAAATTAGTAGCATTAGTTACAATGAAAAAGAAGGGAGCCAGAACACAAGTGCCTGAAATGGAGGTGAAATTCTTATCCTTTGGACCAAAGTGTAATTTTATAGCTGCTTTATCCAAACTATAATTAGTGGTCAGGAAAAAGGGGCCATGTAGGGCTACTCAGACCCATAGGCATCAGAATGGGTGGATTCTTGATGAAGGTCTATTGGACCTTCTTGCTGGCTGCTACAATCCTGGTCCTTCCCCATATGGTGAACCAGATGGTCAGGCACCCAAACAGGGTTATCTGCATCTTGTGGAAAGACACGAACCATCCCATGGGCCCACACTAGAACCGGATCAGGCTGCACCATTGCCCAGTAGTGACATTCTTTCATATAACTGAGCCATAGTCAGATGATCAAGGGCGCCAATGCCTGTTGGCTGCAAATTGAGCAGAACCATCAATAGTTAAAACATTTAAAATATGAAGAACAAATGAAAAGTCATTATGAGGAGACCCTCTAAATCCCCCCTTTTTTTGTTTTATGAAGCTAGGCTTTAATTGTGCAATGTGCATGCCTGACCTTGAGGATAAGGGATGCATGTCTTATGTGAGATAAAAATTTTTTGCAAAAAGAGTTGAAACCCTGACTAGTATAAGCAGGGCCATTATCAGTTTTTAATTTTCTGGGCACCCCCATATAAGCAAAGACTTGCAAACAATGGCTCTTAACATCCTTAAGCCTTTCTCCAGTATGTGCAGAGGCAAATATGAGATGAGAATGGGTATCCACAGATACATGAACAAATTGTAGTCGGAACATGGGTAACATCCATCTGCCAGATATCATTAGGCGTGACACCCCGAGGGTTAACTCCAAGGTGTGGAACAGGTAAAAACTCTGCACATAGGGGACAATTCTTAGCTATATCAATAGCTTGGTCTCTAGTAATTTTAAAATGGAATTTAAGTGACCCTGCATCAAGGTGGAAGGTTGTATGAGCTTTGCATGCTGCTTCATAACCAGACTCTCTCATCATCTTAGTGGCACTATCTGTTTTAGTATTAAAATCTGCAATGGCATTTTCTTCACTCAAATGGCCAGGCAAATCAGAATGTGCTCGGAGATGTCCTACAAAAATTGGATGAGAACATCTCCATAGTAGGCTTTGTATGGTTAGTAAGTGTTCCTGTACACGAGAGACCGGAGCTATATAGGCAGCAGTTTCTAAGAGGGATACACACATTTACTATCAGTGTATAAGTTAAATGGCTCATCAGAAAAATGTTGAAGGGCTAATTGTACTGCAGCTAGTTCAGCAAATTGTGCAGCAGATAAGGGCCATTGTTCCACCCAGACTGGGGTATCAGTTTTCCATGTGATAGGAATGGGAACAGGCTGCACAGCCATAGCCCTTCCCAACCCAAAGTGATCTCCAGCTCTTTTGATAATTCAATTTTTGGATGCAACAGATTGAGGGTCACCTTGGAGGAACTTCCTTGTACATAACCTTGGTCAGCTAGCATATTTTTAATAGGCTCAGTAGTAAGGACCGCTCCTATGGCCTGAAGCACATTTCTTCCCAATGATTAACAGGGATATGACTTAACACAAAATGGCCTGTATGTCCTTCATCATCTGACCATTTAAGAAGCTGAGTGCTACATTCTGGAGCCACAGCAGTGCCCACTCCTTGTAAATGAATAGAGGCTGGCTGAAGAGACCATGCTGACTTTGGCCATTTCCCACCAACCCCCTCTGGAGGCCAGCTGTGGGAGGTGCAGAACGCCAACCCTTTCAGTTAAGACACTCACCTGCTGTCTTTTTTGACTATATCCCAAGCAATTCAAATAGTACCTTTTGTTAGGATTCACACATTCATAATCCCATTTTACACACACGTTTGTGTAGCCAGACCATACATAGATACATACATACATACATACATACATACATACATACATACATACATCTTTCAGCCCTCATTTTCTCTAGGCCAAGATTAGTTTGTTGAAATAAAACATTCTTAACTAAAATCTCTTGTAATGCAGCTGCTATAGGTAACCTTTGAATTACAAGCATCCAAAATCTGAACAAACCCAATAAATTCATCTATGTTACCTTTTTTTCCCTATAAGGTCTTAAAACAGTTTCTGACAGGACACATTAACTTTTCCATATATTTGGCTGGGGAAACAAGTATGTGCAACCATAACAATGGTCCCTCTTGCCATAAGACAGAAGCCAGACTATGCTAAGCCAGACTCCCATGGTTTTGCTTGGTCAATATAGCATATTTGCTGATGTTTGGATTGCATTCTCCTACTGAAGGAGAACTTGTTTACCCTCTTTAGTTAGCTGTTTAGGTGAATTGGGATCACTATTTCCCTTCAGAATATTGCTTAAAGTTTTCAAATCACCAGTAGGTGCATTTTAAAAAGGACATAACCATTGAATATTTCCCTACAACTTCTGAAAATCATTTAACAATCGCAAACTACTTTTTTTAACTTTTGAAGCTTAATTTCTTTAGGATATAACATATGTCCCAAATACTGGAAAGGCTGCTGTCCTCTCTAATCCAACCTGTAAAGCTTTTATTAGCCTACATGGTCTCATTTGCATCCACACAGACACCTTTCTAGGTGGGGCCTAACAGGGCAGCAGTTCCCTGAGGCTTTTTCTCAATAGCTT